CGTCATTTTCACTACTATAGTAGTATTGGGATGTGTATCAATATTTCATTGATTTTTCTCTTTATTTAGCTTTTAAGAACTACTACTTACTGGTCAAATTAGTGAGGTTTATTGTCATAGTCAAAAAATAAAGAAGAAAATAATTCCATAAGACTCAAAATTAATTGTAGAAATGATAAATACTCAAATAATTGCTGAATATTGCTTGTGTTTTTATTATATAGATTAGTCCCTCTTCCACATTTTTGGGGGGAAAAGGTTATAAATGTGCTTATATATTTCAGATACAAATGTTAGAAATTATTTTATCAGAATACCTTTGTACTTTTGATCTCATATTTAAAGCATATTTGACATGTGAATTTTTGTAGATGTTAATCTAAAAATGTATACAGATCATAAACTGTACATTATACTAGAAAAAATTGAGCAAGATTTTATGTGTTCATTTCAAACATATATAGAAATAAAAAGTATTGTATCTTTCATAGCATAATCAATTTTACTGGAGAACTTAGATAAAATAAAAATATTTCATGAAACAATTTAGGATCCTTGCTATGATTTACTTTCAGAAGAAGATTCATGTTGATAATAAATGAAAATAATTTAGTTTAGATAGTTATGTGAATTATACTGGTTGCTACAGAAGCAAATTAAAAAACATCTGTTTACTGTAATTTAACTATAAATCACTTAATGACATAAGTAAAAATTAATTTCATATGAACATGTTATATACACATAAATTATCAATATATTCATTATATTACCTATCCACAAGAATTATTTTACTTATTATAAGTTACTTGTATGAAAATTTTGTTAGAGTCACTTGTTTGTGTAAATCATGCTAAAAGATATACTTTGTGGTTTATTATTTGTTAAAAATATGTTATCAACATATATACAGAAGGAAGAAATATCTGGTCTACTGTCCATGACTGTGCTGTAGAAAAAATAGACTTTGAAAGTTGACTATAATGTAAACTTATCACTGCATTCGGAACATTATGATTTTCTAATTATGTTCATTTTATGTTTGTATAATCATTCTCACAAGAATGATTATGATCACAAAATACCTGAAACATTTTCATTATTGATGGAAAGAAAATCAAAAAAAGTACCAATAAAAATGTAAATATAGAGGTTCCAAAGATAATAAATTTTGATAGCAAAATGTCTTTCTTCTTTATATAGCTGAAAAATAACTCATAAACTAAAAATTAAATACATTGGCTCTAAAGAATTAACACCTTGTTGAACAGAAATATTTTTAGATTTTGAAATCAGAATTTAAAGTTGTCTGCATTATTCATTGATTTTAATTACCTTGTAAGTTGTTAATAAAACACTATACTTTGAGGTCTTAATTTACTTTAGTAACAATCTTCATTTCAAATAATGGCAGTTATAGACAAAATGCTAAACAAGCTTCCATTTTTTTAAAATCATTTCACCCCAAGAAAGGCAATAAACCCATTAAAACACAAGGGGTTATTGAGTCTTACAGAATATGAGAAAAACTACAATTAAGGAGAAAGAACAATAAAAAAAAAACAGGAATTAAAAAAACAAAAGATAACAACTGACAATGCACTTAAACTTTTGAAGATCAAAGTTGACTGGGAAGCAAGAAGCTAGAAGAGAGTTCCATAAATGAGAAGTGTGAAAGATGAAACTGTTAGCATAGAACTTATGGTTAAAGCTAGTCATTTCAATTGTATAATAATTATACATTGCTGCCAATCTAGTACTGTGCTTAAATTCATAAAGTCTAGGTATCAGAAAGGAAAGTTCATCAGAACAATTACCACAAAAATATTTATAGAAAAGGCACAGGGTAGCTATGTTATGGTAGTGAGAAAGTGACTGAAGCTGAGGTGCCAGGTCAGGACCAATAACAGCTCAGATTCTTCTTTATATTTTGTCAAGAATCTCTAAATACATAGCAGAAGCACTAAACCAGATGTGGCAGCAATATTCAATGCATGGATGAATGGTAGACATATAAATGTGTAAGATAGATTCTGGCAAAAAAAAATTGTCTAGCATGACACAGTGAACCAATTTTCCTAGCAGCAGGCCTAACAATTGATTCAATATAATCTTTCTATTTCATGTCAGTGGAAAACATTATCCCAATAAGGCGCAATGAGTTACTCTCCTAGAGATAAGTACCAGCCATGCATTTTGTTTCAATCTAGCTCCTGCTTAATTAAAAAAAGATAATGAAATTTGGTAATACTTATAGACATTTTATCAACCTGCTGATTGTTAATACCTTCTTTAGAGAAGTTATTTTATTCTTTTACTATTTGTTCTATCTGGGGACAAATAAGAAAATTTAATACTAAGGTGTGATTCTTCATTTGTCCCATTTGTAAAGAATTAAATAAGCATGCATCAAATATTTTGAGTTTTGCTTCACTATTAAATCTTTCATGTATTTGACCTTGTAGAGTTCTGACTGTAAAGTTCTACAAAAGTCATAGATAATTATATCTTTTGACTTTATTAACTAAAAAATCTCTAGTAAAAAATTTTTATAAAAAAATACCAGGTTTGTTAAGGTGGAATGGGTACTTATTTACTAACTTTAACATCAATTTTATTGTTTAAATTCTACTGCATTAAGATAAAAAACACCTAATGCATGATCTTTCTAATATTAAGGTTTACATTGTGGAAAACAAATATCAATAATTATCAAATTCAAAAATAAAATTAACTGCAACAATGTCTGAAGATTTTTGAAAACTTATAGGGTTTATTTTTTCAACTTAAATAATACCTACAAGCATTATTTTACCAAAATTATTTTTTAAAAATGCTCTTTTACAATATTATTATACTGACAATGTAGCTTTTGATTTTCGGGTTTTCTCTTGTAATGGGAACTGAATTAACATCTGTTTTGGTTATCATAGTATATCCTACTAGAGCCATTGAAAAACAATTGTCTGATAAGGTCTTGAGAATTACACAAATGCTTCCCACTGACAATCAGCAGCTGGAAACTCACACAATTGATAAATTAAATCTAATATTATTTTTTGAGATCAATATTATTTAAAAGAAATTTAAATTTTTCATTCATCAACATATTCACCAGATACTGCATCTTCAGATTACTATTTATTCAAATCTTTACAGAAATTCAATTTTGTGAATAAATGCAAAAGACACCAAGAGGATATATCTATAAAGATAAAAAATTCTGGGAAAATGGAATTTATTTGAAAGCTAGTAATGGAACAAAATAGTAAATATGTTATTTAATACAATTAATGTAGAATTTTTTAAAAATGGTCTTTTGTTTTTACTTTAAACCAAATAAACTTTTTACATTATTCAATAGAGTTCTTTGTTTTGTTTCCACTCTTACTCAAAAAATCTATTGAGATCATTCTTAGAAACAAAAGAAATATTATTGATGAAAACTTTAATAGATTTTCAAGCTAATAATCTTTCCTGCCATGTTTGTGATGACAATATTAGATAATGAAGTACTAAATTCCTTTAAAGTTTACACCTGATTAAAAAGAAAATGTCTGTCTTATAAGAGCATAAACAATGTTTTTTTAAATGAACTTTTTAAATCTGACACTATTTCCTATTACTATAAATGTTATTTTTAGTGTTTGAGCTGCTAACCCTTTTTTCCTTTTCTTAAACAGTGAAATTAATAACAACAAGCCTAAGTTGAGACATCTTACTAAACGAGGAAAGGCACAATTTTTCTTTAGTAGGGTTTTTTTTATCTTGACCAAATTTATTAATTTCACTGTTTAAGAAAATAGAAAACAGGGATAGAAACTGAAACATGCATGCACTAAAAATAACATTTATTGCAATAAGAATTTTTATATAAAAACTTTTATGGTTCTATTTTAACATACAACAGGAAAATTTATAAAAAAAATACATAGTAAATTGGTATTTTCAGTTATAGAACACTAATGTTTCAGAATTGTTTGTATATAGAAATATATGCACTAATTTCTTGAAAGAAAAAGGCATAAAAATTGTTCAATCTGTAAATTATAGATAAATTATAAAAAATAAAATGAATAAATTTTAAAAAAAAGAAACTATAAAAAGCAAATAGCAATAAAAATACAAATTATAAAATTTCAAAAAAATTTAATTCAATTTTATATATTTACAATTATTCCAAATTTTTTACCTCTAATAGAATAGAAATAATGAGACTATAATACAATCAATGAATTTACCCAAAAGCAAACATCAAACATGAAAATAAGCATGGGTTAGGATAGATATTATGGTACAATGAAATGTTATTTCTTCTCTTATTCAGACATTGCCTGCCCACAAACAATAAGAAATCAAAGAAAGGGCAGCAACATTTTTGTGACAATGAAAAAGTCGAAACTATTCATATAATCTAAGATTACCAATGAATATACAGAGCAATTATAAATAATTGTTTGACTAATGATTTCTCTATTTCAACCTCATATCCTGTACACCAACTGAACTTTAATACTAATAAAGAAAATGTCAATTTTCATAGAAAAATCACATTATGTTTTTCTAAATTACAAAGTAAATTCTGTTGATGATTGATTCACATCTTTATGGATGGATAAGGAAATACAAGAAAATTATGTCTATACAGGAGAATATAAAATTAGATATTTATATAATTTTGATAAATATTAATTTGTACTTTAATAAACAAAATAATTCAATAAAATTTGTGTATAAAAGTATAAAACCAAAGAAAATTTAATATATATATTTTATATTCTAAATGGAAAATATATTGTAATTTCTAGGGAGACAATTGGGGATTATATACATAATATGAAATAACAATTGTCATGTGAAAAAATAAAGAAATGGTAATTCTGAAAATGCCAGTAAATCATATTGAATTTGTAACAGGCATAAATGGTTTGTGGAGATCAAAAAAAAATGTACAAGTATTTTGTTACTTGCAATGTAAAAATAAAAAAGTTTTTTTTTTGTTATTGTTCACTACCAGGAATATTAACAGAAATTCCAAATTTTTCCCCCAAATATTTCAGCTGGTCTTCTTGCAGTACATTTTTCTTTACAGATTCTTTATAATTGCATTTTAGATTTTCAATTTCTTCAATGAATTCTGGTCCAAAATTTTCTAATTCTCTTTTCATCTGAAACAAATATAAATACTCAAATTAATAATTCAAATAAATTTTGAAGTAAATAAAAAAACTTATTCTAAAAATGTAAAAGAAAATGAATTTATTAAATGACTTTCTCAGTTTAAGATATTTTTTTATTCATGACTACTAAGTTTCAAAAGTATGTAGTCTGAAGAAATTAAGTTTTTAAAAGGGAAAACATAAAATTCAATAAAATTGTTTATACTGAAGTTACTCTAAAACCAGTGCTTTCATTGTGCTTTGCAAGGTCTATTCATTTTTTTAATAATTATATATTTTATTAATATTAAATAATAATCTATATTTATATAAATAATAAAAAAATTAATAATTATAAAGTTATTAGATTAACGCAAAATTTCCCAGTATTTTTATCCAAATCTTTTATCCATATAAACTCATAGCATCATTATTCACTCATTTAAAGGTTTCCCTGATTTTTGAAACTTTTTAGCTAAATTGGGTATTCCATTATAAAAGAACAACTTCCTATCCTATTTCCATGATAGCAGGCTGTATAGCATTTGCAACATGAGGATGGGAACAGTAATACAACAAAATTACCAATTAACTTCTTTACTGAAAGATTTTTTCTGTTCCAATATGTCATTCAAATGAGCTCATTATAACATTGTGCAGTAACAATTTATCTAGATTCTAGCAATTCATAATACAGAATTCCTTTTGATTCCTACCAAAGAATTGTTCTCCTTAGAAGATTCAATCTACATTTCATCATCAATAACTATCTTGTGCAAAAAAGGAATATAAGTGTTCAAATGCTTGAACCTATTTTCTTGCATGACACCTGTTACTCTCAAAAGACTATAGATCTGTGCCTAGAGAGATTTTTAATCTTGATACAGTTGGTAGGAATAGGGTTAGCACAGCATCTCATTTACAAATTGAGTGTAGGCCCAGACAGGTTTTTATGAGTGATCAACTGTTGACCATGCAACATGTCTCTCCTTTTAATGACATCAATGTTTTTTATGGGAAGGACAGGGGTTAATACTAATTAACACCAGCATGAGGTCAGGTACAACATCAGACTGCCTTTGGGACTTGACTCCAGATTTTATTCTCCAGGTTTTAATGTCAGAACCTTTCCTATGATCACATATTGCCACAAGATAGCAGAGGTTTGAAATCAGAGATTTCCTTCTCTTAGATGAACTGCCCTTCTAGGCTATCAAATTTCATCTACATTGGAAACTTTTTAGATTTTCCTAAGATTATGCATAAGATGGCACTGGAAAATTGCATCAATCTAATTAGTTTTACTAATAATATAATGTCTATGTAATAAAGTTATCATAAATAATATACCTTAAATTCAGTAAGAACTTTATTATCGATTATAAAAGAATATGAGAGTTAATGTGACAATTTATATGAATGATTTATATAAAATCACATAAAAGAAAATAGTTTCCTTATATGCAAGTAAATAAGTAAACTTGGTTACTTAAAAGAATCTATTCATTTATCAAAAATCATGCCCTTAATGATATTTTATCATTTCATCATTTTATAAACTGAAAAATAGAAAACTGCTATATTTCCAAATTCAATGTTATTGCTTATTTTATTTTGGACAAAAATATGAGTTTTTATTTTACACGTTGAATTTCTGTTAATGATTTTTTATTCTCCAATTTCATATTCCTCAGTTCCAACTGCAGTTCCACATTGTTAGCTTTTAATGATTCATACTCCTTGGCTTTCTCCAGCATATCTTTAGGAGACTGTTAACAAAAAAGAAAAGGATTATTTCATGAGTCATTCTGACTAGTACTTTCAACATTTTTATATAATGAACTGTTGTAATGGAATGTCCCACTCTCCCTATCACCTATTGTGGACTAACTATATCAGTAGATATATATAGTGTGCACAGGATATGCCTGGCGGACTTGCTTCAGGAATTACTAACTTGCTGATTCCCTGTCTTTCAGTAGTGTATTCTCTTTTACAATAAACCTCTCTTTCTTTCATCTACACTTGTGTTGCTGTTCCTTTCACTCAAGTACCACCTTTGTCTGTTTGTAACCTCATTAAGAATACAACATGAACCATTCATAAAATGGAAAAACTATTGCATTTGCATCAGTAATTTGGACACAACCACAAAATTTGTATTTCACATTTAGGATAAATTAGCTGATATGTCATAATAGCTATAATCAGTAGCAGTTATATTTTTCAATAAAGTTGACTGCAAATATACTACTTTTAATTTCTGGTTTAAATATTATGAAAATTATTAGATATGTTATTTCTATAGAATGAAATTTTATTATTCCTATCAGAATAGACTAATTCTAAAAATTCAATGCTCTTCTCTTGATTTATCATATAAAAAAAGCTAAAGAAAGGAATTGGCTTTCCTATAAATAACATTTTTATATGTCATGGGGGCAACTACACAATGATTATAAGATAACCAGAAGTAAAACCTTTGGTGTTCAAAAGTATGTTGTAGCAAAGCCCCAAAAACTTCACTACATCAAGAATAACTTCTAGTTCCAGACAGCAGATTAAATTTTGACAAAAAAAAAATCAGGTTAGTACCAGCCATGCATTTTGTTTCAATCTAGCTCCTGCTTAATTAAAAAAAGATAATGAAATTGGTAATACTTATAGACATTTTATCAACCTTCTTTAGAGAAGTTATTTTATTCTTTTACTATTTGTTCTATCTGGGGACAAATAAGAAAATTATGCCAAGCAGCATTACATTACCTAACTATTTCTAAGACAACAAAATTAAAGCATGTAAACCTTATCAACCAATCATAACCATTAAAATATGATAATAAAAATTAAACTACAAACACTTTCCATGAACCTATTGGACTACATGAAAAATGAATAAAAAGTAAAAAACAAACTCAAAATAACAGCAGTTTCACTTATACTGAAGTGCATCACTTTCATTTTCTCTCTTTCTCATGTGAACTTCAATAATTTTCTACACAAAACCTTTGAAGAACTTTCCAGAAATATTGAAAATTTTATCAAGAATATTTTCTGCATGTTATTCTAAATTAGAAATCTGTAATGGCATCTTTATTTCAAAGAACATTCTTTTTCTCATTGTAAAAAGAAATCTCAATGATATTTTAAGCAAACAATGCACAAAATGTTCTTCATTTTAAATTCATATATTTGTTATCAATAATCAGTTTTTGTCTAATTTATTTCACTCCAATTCCACAAGTTTTCACTGCTGCTAAGTGGAAGAGAAATTCAAAAGATCTAAGGGACCACTGTTTATTGAATTATTAGTACAAGTAAAGCTTAACATATTTTTTGTAATTTGAATTCTTGTTCAAAGAAATAAGACATAGTTAAATTCACAACATTGGTTAGATAAGAAATAGAAAAAGTGGAACATTATCAGCAAATATATCATAGCCCCTTCGCTACTCTGTTCACATGATCAAGAGCAGACATCTTCATGACCTTGACCTTTTCTTCATTGTGTTGCCCCACTCCCTTCAATGTAATTTAATTTAGATTCATAATAAACCTGTCTTTTTAGTTGCTTCAGTGTTATAAACCTAGTCTGAATCAGTCAGTCAGTTATGTGCCATGCATGATACACACTTAGGCGATCATGTATCTTTCGATACATGACTGACGAGGCAGATTTTTTCCTGCAGTAGGTTGTCATTTCTTTCTGCAATAGACCAGTTGCCATCCAAGGCTATAGAACCCAGTCTGTCCTGCTATTTACCCATAGCTGGGAGGAGAAGAGGAGGATTCGTACATTTCTTAAGGTATTAGCATGCAAGTGAAAGTAATGGATTCAACTGAAATTTGAACTCAGCTCCCTCAATCCTCTATCCATTACACCACCATGCCTCCCTAGTCTGAATACAATTTGTGAATATTTTTATACTTTTATATTTCCTAAAACCTCTGAATTTATTTTTCTTGAGATTTACTACTTTGTAGAACCAGTAAATGTTTACACTCCCTTATCCTATAACTCAGTGACTTCTCACTGAACTGGCAGAGGAGGTGGAGAAGTGCAGGCCCCTGGCCATTGTGGCCAGGGCGTTTGGATGGGTTATGTATTGAGTTACGTGCCCACTTATTTTTGTTCTGCCAGCTGGACACTAGTTGGGATTTCCTATTCATTCTTTCTTCAGGCACTCTTGCTCTTTATTACTTCCGGCTACCACAAAGCCTTATCTTCTGGCATTCTTAGCCTTTAATTATTTCCAGCGATCTCAACCTAAACTACCCAGATATTGATGTAACATTGGCTAATATTTTTCGCTGCTTCATCATGGATTTCATCAATGGACTTAACCAGCAACCACGTAATGCCTGCACCCTCTACTTCCAGCATCTCTATCTCAACCTGGTTGATTGGTGTTAATAGACCTACTTACAACAGCCCTGAACTTCCGGCTACACTAAGTCCCTGCTTCCAGCTTTCCTGTCAACCTAACTCACCTGGTTTAGGAAATTGCTGCATGCTTATCATCCAGACTCAAACAACCTACTTCGTACACTTTGGTTAAAATACTACAGAAGGTTCACCATTGGACTTAACCAGCAACGCCAGCACTGGACATTTAAATAGAACTTTCTTCTCTTTGGCTATATTGTCCAGACTTCAGATAACCTACTCTGTACACTTCAGTTAAAATACTATAGAAGGTTCATCACTGGATTTATCCAGCAACTTTTCAACACTTTCACCAGACATGTGAACTGAACTTTCAAACTTTGGACTTACATGCCAACTTAACTTACACAAACTCTACTTGCAACATTTAGTCACAATTAGATTATCTAGCATTTTTAATGCATTTTGACCACTGACAAATTTTTGTTGTTTGTTTTGATGTTAACATTTTTCTCCCCCTTGGCTCTCAGTCTTACTTGGTTGTATGTTTTGTTCTGTAATATTGAATTGTCTGTTTTTTTGTTTTTTTTTTACAGTTTATATGAACAAAAAAAAGTGAACATAAACTAATTTTGTATCAACTTCTAAATGTAATTGTCAACATTAACAAATAGCAATTGAATATTTATAAGCAATTTGAACTCAACAAAGGTTTACATTTTACTGTGTTTATCAAATTAATATTTTATTAGACATAAAATATCCGCACTAACATAGTTATATCCATAATATTAACAGAAGAATTAAGATAAAAAATGAGACAAGTACAAAAGAAAACCAAACCACTAATAGCAAACAACATAAAAGAGACAAAATACCTCTTAAAACATCCCAAAGGAATGCTAATTATTTTACTAGTGAATAAGGGAAGCACAGTAGTCATAGGGGATGAGTTAAAATATTTGATTCAAATCACAAACCATATAAAGAATGATAGTTATTATAAAAGGATCAAACCATATCACAAACCATATAAAGAATGATAGTTATTATAAAAGGATTAACCAAAATGAAATTGTCCAACATCTTAAAAAAGAACAAAAATCCTTTCACTGGCAATAGTCACTTATCACTTGTTGGCCAAAGGGTTGATGAGGGAATAAAAAATTGTAAATTCCAGATACAAAGATCACCGCACACAAAAGCACGGTAAGAAAGAATTTTGAAGGATAATTAAAATTTGGCCATTTGGGCTAGACCACACCTAGCCCTAGGAGAATGGGTTTGATCAAATGACCAAGGAGGTGAGGGCCCAGGTGTAATTTCAGGGAAGGCAGAGGACTTTCCACACCCCTCGGGCAGTGATGGTGAAAGGCATTCACACAAAGCAGGAAGGAGATAGATTTGATCAGGTGACCAAGAGAAGACCCAGGTAGAATTCCAAGGAGAGAGGAGGGTCTCCCTATATTTAGACATTTGCAGGGAGAGGCCTGATTGGTTGTTTGGGAACATGGGCATTCCCAGAGCATATTATACCCCACCCCTTGTGCAGGGGTCCATAAAAAAAAATGCAGAGACATGGCAGAGAGAGACTGCAGAGATAAGACCAAACGGGATGAGAACCACCACTGTCTCCTTCCTGCTTTGTGTGAATGCCTTTCCCTGATTTCATGTGATTTGTTGCCCTGAAGCCTCCGACAAAGCCTTGTTCCAGAAGTGTGTCACGATAATTGGGAAGGGTCAATAATTATTGCATGGAGAGTATAGGCCTGCTTAAGCCATCAATTACTGTACCACCAAAGAAGTGTATATAAATACTTTTTTTTCTTTTACCCAATTTATTTTTTTTCTTCTTTCATGTGACTTTACTCTGACTGGACCAAACCAAGTCATCGATTCCAGTCAGCAATTCAGACCAAGCAAGTCTTGTGATCATTTGACACAACATGGGGTGAGACAAGACTTAGGCCAAAGCGACCAATTCTACGATCAGCTGAGGGGATCAAACTTGAATAGAAAGCAGCCAGGGTAGATATCATAGATATGCATGAGCTTCCACTACGTTCATAATTTTCACCATCAGACATTGATGGATTGTACAATATAATTCATGATATAAACGAAACATAACCATAAACTTGTTTTCTTCGATATTCTAACAAATTGTATAAAATATAGGTTCAGGACATCAATGTACAGAAAAGCAATATATATTGGACTATATTTTAACAGAAAGAAATCATTTAAGAATAAAATCATTTATTGCCTTCAAAACAAAACTCATCATCCGACAATATAAGATGACCTACCTATCAACCCATGTAACATGGTCTACTAATGGATGAATGAACCAACCCCAGAATAACAATATTTTTCTTATATCACAAGTATCAAGAGAATACAGTAAACTTATGATAGGTATAACATCAAGGCAGTTTTCAGTAACAGAACCACAAAAATATGATTTATAATTAAAGTACATATAAAAAAATCCTATAATTATTAGTGTATAAAAACAATAAAAATTATAGTACATAAAAGAAAAAATGACAGTATAGAGAGTATATTATAAAGAGCACATAGTACAAAAAGAAAATACAAAAGAATATTTCACTAGAAAAATGTATTGTCAATAATCTATCTATAGACTCAGCATAAATGAAATCCTACAGAAAATTTAATGTAAAAAATTTACAGCACCAACAGGATCTTTATTTACATCAGAATTTTTGAAATCCAGAATTATCATTATTATGTGATTTCCAGTCTGAAGACTAGTGTACAAATATTGTGAGTATAACAATGAAGATGAATATATAAGTCCAAATAGAAAGGCATATAGGAATCTTTATTGTCTGTATCAGTGAAGAGGTAAAAGTTATTTTTAAAAATTTGATGATTACTAGATGCAACAGATATCTGAAGAAGGCTACAGTCCAAAACCTAAAAGTGGTCAAAACAACAAAAATGGGGACATAATAAATAATTCATTGAATATTGACAATATTTCATCTAAAAATTCATCAACAGTATGAAAATTATCTCAAATGAGAATAAAGAAATTGTAAAAATATTATATACATATATGCTTACATTTCATGCTGAAAATCAGATATGAACTAACTTTGCCAAAAGAACTATGACACCCACATCCAACTATTATCAAATTTTATTTACCATGAATTTCGGAATTCTTTCTTCATTATAGATTTTCTTTCAGCCTTTCTTCTCTTTCTTCCAATCTCAATTCTTATTTCCTCTAAATGTATTTTAATTAGACTGAAACACTGACTAACAAGAAATTAACTCATATTATTAACCAAAATCAGTTACATAAGATTTGGAAATTTTAAAATTGTAGTGACAGAAAGTTATAGTCACTTTTCAGTAAAATTAGTGGCATTACAACTGAGAAGATATTAATAGTTTATACTTAAATACCAGTGTGATCAATTTTTTTTAAAAGTAACAAATGGTAGGAGCTGAGTGCTTAAGACTTTCTACACTATAACAAACTAATTTTGATAAACGAATAAAATATATTTGGAACCTGTTAGATTACTTAATTCCCTAATGAAAGTAATATTTTACAAAGATTCCAATTTATTGTATGCTTAAGCAACTGAGGCTGAACTAGATAACAAAGAAACAGTTATCCTACAATTCACTGACCTCTGTTGTTTTTCCATGGACTTTTTGTTGCAAAATTTTTACCTCAGTTAAAAGTTGCTCCTTTTCTTTTTCAAGCTGATTTATTTTCAACCTGTAATAAGGAATAAGAAAATATGATCATAAATAGATGAATACAAAGTTGAAAAAATGTTTTATGCATTAAGATTCAAGTGAATTAAAAATTATACTAAAAATTGTGATTCTAGATTTAGTCTGAAATTTAAATAGAGATAAAAATAATCAAAAACAATATCTAAAATATTTTCTGCATATTTTGGATAGATAATAGATAAGATATTTTAACAAGAACCACAAAGATTTAGCAAACAAATATTTTAGGTATTTTATAAAAATAAATAAAAGAAATCAAATTAAACAAGCTTTTAAAAAATAATATATGTTATAATTATAAAAATTACCTTGTACTTTGGTTTGTTGTTTTACAGCATGTCAACCTCAATGGGTTATTTAATGCCAACAAGATTTTTATTGCTGGTAATATTTTTTTTCAAAAATGTATTGCTGGCAAGATTTATTTTTTCAAAAATGTATTGCTGGTAATAATTTTTTTAACACAAAATGTATTGCTGGTATTAAAACCTATTTTTACACTTTCATAGTGTTTTGACCCCAGTTTGAAGGTTAACTATTTGCCCATAGTTGAAACCCTCACAGGTTCTACCACCCCAGGTCAAGGTGGACCTGGGAACACCAGCAATTAAGAAGTGGTTGCATACTCCTCAAAACCTCCTGATCAGAGGCCTTGCTGTTGGATGTAGCTTATCGTCTTACTCAGGATGCCTTGTACTTTGTACTAGCTCCTTTATTAATTAAAACAGTTTTTTTTTTCAGTAATAAGGAATATAAAATCTTAAAAAAAAGGAATGATCATCAATATTTGACCATTCAGTCTTTGTGATTTCCCAAAGCTGTTGTTTATTTCAATTTTGGATCTAGAATCAATTTTAAGCTATATAGTTTTTAATGAATTTAATACTAAGTGCTTAAAGCATTTACTTGAGACTAAATCCAAATGCTAGAAATTATTATCAGCAACTGATTAGAAATTGTTTTTCTTTGGTGCTGCTACCTTTCCGTGTGTTAAGATTCTAAATTCATTACCCAAAGACATTCTTCTGGGCTTTAGCTGTCTTTTGAGACAATTTGGAGGAAGTCACTATCTTGCTTTATATTATTCTAATTCATGCTTTATCTGCAAGAGTAATAACTAAAACCTAGACCATACTTAGAGACTATTTTAATTAATTTAAATTAAAAGATTATTACTTTAAATAATAAAAAGAGAGAAGTCAAGCTGGAATACATATGGCTTCATTGTCTTTATGAACTCTCTCAATCTGTATGAAATATTAATATAATATCCATCATTTATTTCATATACAGCTTGATAGGAATAGAATAATTTAACATTGAAAAAAAAGTGAAACTATACATCTTCATTTTAGTTGTTTTTAGCACATTTCAGCCATGATATTATTCAAACTTCATCGGGTGTAAGAATTTACTTAATACGTTTTTCTTTCTCATCATCTTTTCATTTGGAACATCACAGTCATACCAACAATATCATAGGACTGAGCATTTTAAGGTCTAGTGTTAATAGAACTAAAGTGGGAACACATAAGACTAGAATCTACTCTTTTGTATGAAATGTTAATGAGTTCACAGAGACAGTGCTGACATTTTGAAATAGCCTTGCATTTCCCTTGATATAGGAAACCTTAACTTTTAAAATTAGTTTTTGTGAATACTGGTTTCCCTCTATAATCATTATGCTTTAATTTATTGACAAATATATGTTATGTACAGCTTTCCTCAGCTTATATACTTTCTAGCATTATGGCCTCATTCGAGAGGAGCAATAAAGACCAATTTCTAAACAAAAATAGTATGCTAAAATATTCATAATATCAGACTACTAATGAGGGAGAACATCACATATACAAAAATTAATTTTATAAATGATTAATAGCAAAGACATACCTGGCTTCCTGAAAGCTTTTTCTCAAATTAGCATCAGTGTTTATTGATTCCATAGAGCAGTTCTTCAATATGTCAATCTATAGAAGTAATATTTGATAACAGCATAGATCATCTTACATTTGCTATGGCATATAAATCTTTACTTTCTATTTTAAAATGATATAGAATATATAAATAGATCAATTTTTGACTTTGAAGTTAAATTCATTTAGAAAAATAACATGTAAAATTCAGAATGCTAGATAGTCAAAACATGACAAATATAACAATAAACACTTATTTGGTAGATCTTTGTTGAAAAGAAAGATAATTAAAAGAAAAATATAACAAAACTTTAAAAACTAATAAATACAACTGCTTTATATATTTATCAACAAAAATATCTAAGTTTAATTACTGGAAGAGAAAAATGTCATCTATCTTGAAAATGAAAATTCAAATATTAAAAGTATTTAATGATGTAAGAGATATTTCTATTAAATAAATAAGAAAATAGAATTTAGAAGAAATTAGACTTTGTCAATGAAAAATTTAATGTTGACTCCCATTTAAACTATTTAAAGAACAATAAAGAGTAATCAATCAAGATCAGAATACTGCAATATATTTGGAAATATATCAGTGCATTTTTAAAATCAGACATAATATTAAAGCAAAAATATAAAACTAGTTCTTGATTAAAATCAATCAATAGTGGAATTAAAATATCAAAAAAGAAAATATAAAAGAAAACAGAATAAACTTCTGGTAATATTTTCTCATGTTAAATTTGGCCTGTTCACAATAATTAATGAACAAGGAAAAAATTAAGTTCTCTATTTACGTCTAATAGGAACCTATTACTATTATTAACTTAAAACAATATTAACTACAATGATTATTTTGTTACATTTCCAAAGTATAGACAAAGAAACTAACAATGTTCTAACTGTTACAATAGAAAAAACAATAAATAGAATACCTGTTTTAACAATTCTTGTTTTTCTTTCAAAAGACTCTGTTCTCTCTCTGCAGATTCTCTCAACAACGTTTTTACATCTGCTAAAAGTTGATGCTGTGATAAAAACATTTTATCAAAATTTATTATTTTTAAATAAAAATATTTTATACAAAGTGGATATCTGAAAATTTTAGAATAAAATAATGTAACTTATGAAAACTCATAAGACCGCTAAAATAATTACATTTTCTACAGAATCCTTTTTGATTCTCTTAGAGTGAATATAATATGTATGCTTGCATTTTAGCTTACAGAACTGAGCAACAAAGTTACATAAGTTGGATATATATGATAAAACACCAGAATTATTATTATGAATAATTAATAAAATATTTACACAGTGTAAACAGTTAATACTTGTGTATAAACAAGTAAGGAATTGTAGATATAAGAGCAGAAAAAAATAAGAATCAAGAAATATAAAAGATATTTAGCATACAAAGATTATATGATTATGCAATACTTTTAATTTCTGGAGAAATAATTAAAATGATAATCAGTTAGGTTGCTGTTTTTTGTTATCATGAGGAAGAAAGCGGACATTTACTACACTTGCTGCCTTGTATGAGTATAATTTTGCTCTACCGAAAACTCATTTTCATTTTACACTATTTTTTAATTCTTTATTTTTTTAATCTTTAAATTTTATTTTATTTATTTATTTATTATTTTTTTTTCTTTTTCTTTCTCCCCTTACTCGTCAGTGTGTTTGACCATAGTAACACATTTTTGTCCTAATCATTCTAACCTATTTGATGGTTTAGTTAGAAATCCCAGTTCGAAAGAAAAATCAGAAAAAAAGGGAAAATTGAATGTTTTTGGCTAGATGCGAAGTGTCTCGTCAGTATTCTCATGATCTAGTTGGCCAAATCTTCTTGCTTGATAAATTGTCTGAACTTGGAATTGTTTTCACCGTTTCTTTCTCCTGTTGTTCTTAATTTTATTGAAAGCATGTCTCCCAAGCCCACTATTTGGTGATGGCAGAGGATTGGCCGTTGATCCCCCCCCAACCAGGTCGGTAAGGTAAGCCATACATTCACTTGTTATCATGAGGAAGAAAGCAGACAAACACTCACTGCCACGTATGTTGGGGCATTTATTATGACATACCAGTAAATCCGGATAACCTTATTTTCTTCAATTTCTTTTTAGAATAGACAATGGGACTTATACTAAGTTAAAACTTAATGTTGCGAAAGGGTAAAATCCAAGTGTCAGCCAGGACTCTTTGCCATTTACCTCCCCCTCTTATCCTTCCCTCTGTTTTTGTCATTCTTGTATGTGTTATATGTAATAGGAGTAGGTAGGCTTTCCTACCACCTGGTCAACACTCCTCTCCCTTCTCTTGGACATGGGTAGAGACTTACGCCTTGTTTCTTGTTTAGGAAGGGGTTCCCAGTACTCTCTCTCTCTGGCCTCTGTATTAGTGCAGCTCTGTTTCTCCCATGATGTGTGCAGTCTGTGGCATCATCTCTTCATTCTGAAGGTACACGGTTGACAGTTCTCTGGTTGCTGTTTCTGACTGGTAGTTAGGGGCCCTAACTCTTGCGTAGCGTCTTTAGCGGCCGCTCTGATCAACAGTTGTATAATACTGGGGTGTTTGTAGTGCCATGTCGCACATGGAAAGGTGTCCCTGCAGTCACCTCCGGTGGGCAACCCTGAGGCCACATTATGATGCAGGTTGTGCCAACTTCTCTCTGCCCACGTCACGGTCGATAACTGTCTGCTTCTTTTAATTCAGGCCTTCTCATCTTCCAACCAAAATTCCACATGACTTACAAAGACCGAAAAAGTAATCCTAAACCAGCCACTCAAAAATCACCTAAACCCCTCAACATTTCATTCTCCAACATCCGTGGCATTAGATTAAACTTCTGCAGTATGGAATCTTTCCTCACTGCAAACTGCCCGGATATACTGGCTCTCTGTGAGACCAACCTTGTCTCATCTATCCCCTCCTCTGATCTCTCAATCCCAGGCTACCTTCCTCTCCTCAGAAAAGACTCTCTAACCCACATGCACGGCCTTGATGTCTACGTCGAGGACCATCTTCCGCTGGCCAGAGAGTTGTCTCTCGAATCACCAGACCAGTTGTACATGTGTCTCTGACTATCTCTTCTCAATGCGGTAAGCTATCTCTTCTTCCTTTACCGCTCTCCATCCTCTCAAGACTGTGGGATACTCGATAGCATTTCTGACAGCTTAGACAAGGCTCTCTCCCTTCACCTGTTTGCTCACATATTTGTGTTTGGCGACTTTAATGCCCATCATACCATGTGGCTTAAGAATGCTGCTACTCACCACACAGACATACAAATGCTCAGTTTTTCAGTCTCTCAATCCCTCACACAGATAGTTAACTTCCCCACTCATTTTGCCTTCAACCAGAAAGGTAAAGCCTCTCTTCTCAATCTGTGTTTTACCGCCATCCCCGAGTCCTGTAGCACCATGCAACTCTGCCCTCTTGGTAACTCTGATCATGCGGTAGTATCTGTTAACATCTTCTTCAACTCCACCCCCTGCAAAGAACCTCCTACCACTAGAACTTCGTTCTACTATCAACGAGCTGACTGGGACGCATTCCGTGATTTCCTCCGCGATGTCTCCTGAGATGTTGTCTTTACACTCCCCATCCAAGAATGTGCTTCTGAGGTCTCATCCTGGGTTAAAGCTGGAATTGACGCTTTCATCCCCTCAAGGAAATATAGGGTCAAGTCGCGCTCCTCCCCCTGGTTCTCCGCTGCTTGCTCAGCTGCCATCGGCCATAGGAACCACTTCTTTCACCTATTTTGTAGTGACATGTCTGACTGCAATAGACGTCTCTTTGCCTCCGCCCGTAACAAGTGTAAGCATGTCCTCAACGATGCTAAGTCAGTATTTGCTGCTCGGATGAAGGAGTGTATTGCATCTTGCAAATTTGGCTCCAAAGATTATTGGCGTCTCTGCAAGAGCACATTGAACAATTGCAAACCCTCTATACCTCCTTTGTTCAACCAGTTCGAAGTCCTGACCTCCTCTGCCGACAAGGCTGAATGCTTTGCTCGGAAATTTTAATTCAACTCAACGCTCGACTCTTCCGGTGTACCCATACCCAACTTCCCTCTTAGAACTGGGGCCCTATTGAGTGGATTACACATAACCCTGTCTTTGGTATTGGGCATTATCTCCAATTTAGACCCCAACAAGGCTAGTGGTGGAGATGGGATACCAACCATTGTCTTGAAGAAATGCGTGCCTGAACTGGCGCTCGCCCTCTCTAAACTATATAACTACTGCCTCAAGGAATCTTGTTTTCCTGACTGCTGGAAGTCCTCTTCGATTGTTCCTGTCTTCAAGAACTCTGGCGACCCCTCTGACCCTGCTAACTACCGTCCTATAAGTCTCCTACCCCTCTTCAGCAAAGTCTTTGAAGCCCTAATCAATACTGAAGTGATTAACCACCTTACATCCCATGATCTGCTCTCAGACAAGCAATATGGATTCCGCTTTGCCCAATCTACAGCTGATGTACTTACGGCCATCACTGAAACTAAGCTCTTCAAAATAACTGGGAAGCTTGTGCCATGGCCTTAGACATCTCCAAAGCGTTTGATAGGGTTTGGCATGCCGGCCTTCTTCTCAAGCTCCAAGGTTATGGCATTACGGGTCAATTGTTTGACCTAATACAATCATTCCTGTCAAACCGTGAATTGAAGGACGTTCTCAATGGATTCTCCTCCAGTTCCTATCCCATGAATGCAGGTGTTCCTCAAGGCTCCATCCTAGGCCCCACTCTATTCCTTATTTACATAAATTACCTTCCTGACGCAATAAATTCCCAAGTTAGCATCTACGTGGATGACACCACAATTTATTCCTGCCTCAAAAACAAATCTAGTGTCACGAAAAGGACCTCCAATCGGTTGTGAACTGGGGCAGGAATTGGCTGGTCAAACGCTTCAAAACAAAACTGCTCTCTATTAATCACCACAGAGATCCTTCCCTGCCCTCCATTAGAATGTCTGATGCTCAACTTCTCGAGAGCACCTCTCTTCGGCTGCTCGGTCTCACATTGACTGCTGACCTGAGATGGAACAAATACATTGAGTCAATTGCTTCGTCCACCGCAAGGGAAGTTGGATCCCTGTGAATCAATCCTCCAAATCTACAAATCAACAATTTGCCCTTGCATGGAGTATTGCTGCCATATATGGTCTGGAGCCCCTTCTGTTTGCCTCGGGGTTCTTCATAGGCTCCAGAGGCAGATATGCAATATAATTGGCTCTGCTCTGGCATCTCATCTACAGTCACTTTCTCACAGACATGTCGTCACCTCTCTCTGTCTGTTTTACAAATACTTTCATGGCAATTGCTCCGAGGAGCTGCATTCGCTGGTTCCCAGACTTCATGAGTTCAAGCGCCCTACAAGGTTGGCATCCCGCTCTCACCCTTTCACTGTTGAAACTCCTAAATGTAGCCATCTCTTCTACTCCAATAGCTTCATGTCTCGCACTTCTCGCCTGTGGAACTCCCTTCCCTATTCCAGTTTCCCTGAGAGCTATAATCTCCAGCTATTCAAATGTAATGTCAATTGACATCTCCAGTTGCCTTGATCTATCCACTACCCTTCTCATCCTTTCTTCTATCACTCCTATCTGATCTTGCTCCAAATTTTCTGTAACCCCTTGCGTCCTAGTGGCTTCTTGCATTGCTTGAGGTGAAACGCTTTAAAAAAAAAAATATATATATATAATTTGTTATCTTTCTTAATACTAACAAATCACTGTAATATAAGAACGTCTTTAGCTATAATGGAATGAACAGATTTGTTCTCTCAACTAGCAAGACTGAATAGAATCCTTGATTTCTGCTCTTTTATCAAACATGGGAAACCAGACAAGTTGACCTTTATAAAAACTCAATACATACATAATCTCAAGTAATTTGGTTAATCTTATATGAAACTGAAAATGTCATAATTCCTACATCAGCTAACCAGTATAAGTGAATCAATCTATGAAATAGTTATTGCACAATTGTACTCTGAAAAGATTTTGCATAGATAACTGCTATATTGAAATGTTTTATCACATATTATTACAAGCTGGATTTTCAATATCCAATCAAATTTCCAGTAGGTTAGTGAAGAGAAAGAAAGGGGAAAAAGAAGGATTCAAGAGTGCTGATTGGAAATAGCAGCTATGAAGACTGGATGTTGGCTCTTTTTTTTTACAGTTTCTTTACAAGCTCATGTAAATAGTTGGTATCTGTAGAATCTAAAAAGCTTACCTATCATGATTGAAGGAGTTTGATTATATTGTAAATGAGGTTGAATGTCAATTTTATTTCCCTGTTTGCAGGATAAACCATAAGAAAAGGAGAGTTAAAATTTACAGTTAGATAAAGGTTTTATATTCAATTTTGTTTTATTTTCATTTATCTATAGTGTATATACTACCAAACATATGCAAGAAATCAACTTTACCTCAAATGCCTATAGACACAAATTTCATATTCACAAATATGTTGTTACCTTATTTTCAAGTTCTTCTTCAACATTTCTTATGCTGGCAACATCTCCATCTAACTTTGTATTTCCTTCTGTAATTCTATTTGTCAGCTTTTTATTTTCATCCATCAAATGTTTCACTTGATTCTCAAGTTTCAATCTAATTTCATTCTCCTACAAAAAAGAAATAAGCATAATACACATGAATAGATTAATGCACATTATATATAAAACAATTTCTAATTCTTTCATTCAAATATGAAATCAGATTTACAAGAAATACACAAATTCTCTTTGATCCTCTGATATTCACTGACTTGTTTCTCCTACTAAATATCATTATAAAAATTTGGACAATTCAAAATGCATTAAAATTCTTGGCTCTTGAATTTTTTCTATGACTAATAAATAAATACATGACTAATATAATTTTTTTTTGTAAAACAGTTTTTATATATATAACAACTACAAACAGAAACATTAACCATAAAAACAAACAATCCAATGCCAACAAAATATTATTTAAAAAATAGACTTGACAACACAAACTGATGCATGAGATAAGGTACTTCAAAAATCCAACATATGAAAACATGATATTTGAAAAAAGCTTAAACTGATATAGCACAAAAAACAAAGTACATATATATAGTCACATTATCAACAAAAGTTCTGATAAAGGCATGTGAAATCTGAAAGTACTCAATTCTAATTTTCACCAGAAAAAAGATGATCTTAAACATAAATACACACACACATACATATATATATATCATATAATATATATACATACATATGTTGTGGTAAGACAACCTGATTAGCTCTCTTGTCATGATTTGTATAAATAAATCACACCGTCTTAGTGAAAATGGCAAGACACTTCAGTTATATTCAATAAAGGCACATTAAGCTGAACTAGACTGTGAGTTTTCATTACAATTTATTGAACGTAATTATGGACAAATACCTTAAACCAGAACATCTCAACTTGGACTCTAGTCATGTTTTCTACTGACATCTAGCAGTATTGTAAATGATTATTTGAAGGATTCTTGCTTACACTGGAAAACAGTTCATCCACTCTTATTACTGATACAGATAGACTTAACCTGCTAATGCACTATGTTTCCATATTTGCATATATCAATATTTCTCACTGCAAACTTACCAGAGTTCCATGGACATTTTGGATGGAATTTTTGTGAAGAAACAAAACAATCTTTGCCTGGCATGTATTAGCAACTACCCACCAATCTCCTAAAGAGGGGTTAGAACAGTATCTTCAGCGCTTAAAAAATCTTAAGTTGAGACTGCGACTTTCAAATGACAACAGCAGAACAGGCAAAGGATTAATTTATCAGACTCCTTTTTTTTGACTGATATAGTTTGATTAGAATCAAACTATATCAGTCAAAAATTGCTGGAAAATAAACAACTAGATTTAGCTACTGCTTGTGAGCAGGCACTTACCTTGGATATGCTAGAAAAGCAATCTTATTCATACCTACAAACAAGTGTTGCAGAGGCTGCACTAAGTACTCACACTCTTATTAGTCCACCAGTTCAAACAACCCAAACAAGAAAAAAAAATCAGTCGTCTATGAAAAACTTCCTGAGTTCTGCTTCCCCACCCCCTCTGTAAATTCAAAAACTTCTCTCTCTCTGGAAGACATTGCATAAACTTCTAGTGCTGCAGACAGACAAAAAGGTTATTTTTGTGGTCTCAAACTACACCCCTGGTTGTGTTGTCCAGCCAGGGAAACTATGCCACAAATGTAGGAAGAACGGACATTTCTCTAAGGTTTATCGATAAAGATTATTTTTTACCTGGTTCAAATGCTCTTATTGTGACTAGTATCATATCAACTGCAAACCCTAAATACCTTTCAAAGGCTATATTAACAGTAAAAATAAACGAGGTAGAAATGAATGCTCTACTCAACACAGTTCAGAGAGCTTTAGCACTGATATTGCAAAAAGAAACAGATTAAAATTGTACATTGTAATAGTCAGGTGGCTATGGAGAATGCTTCACTATCTTTGCAGGTTAGAGGATACATTTTGGCTGACCTAGAATTGAATCAAACTAACTACACTAACACCAAATTTTTTGTGATACCAAATCTGTGCTGCAATATCATACTGAGACAGGATTTTCTCAAACAGCATTCTAGTATTAATCTTCCTTTTGGAAGCCCTAAACTGGCATTGAACAGCTGTGGCTTGGCTGCTATAAATGTACAATGCCCTTCTTTTTGAAAACTTAACCAAAAACTGTAAACCTATGGCCACCAAATCCTGAAAATATTCTCTTGAAGACAAAACATTTATTGAAGCAGAAATAACAAGAATGTTAAGAGAAGGAATAATCAAAGAAAGCAGATCACCATGGAAGGCACAAGTATTAATAATGTCCATTGATAATAATAAAAAATGATGGTCATAGATTACTTCCAAACTATAAATAGGTACACCCTCATGGATGCATACCATATACTCTGAATTGAAGAGATGATAAACGAGATTGCTAAATACAGAATATTTAGCACATTAGACCTAAGGAATGCTTACCATCAAGTAGCTATAGACCTTAAAGATAAGCCTTATACAGCTTTTGAAGCCTGTGGTCGACTTTATCAGCATTTCCAGTTTTCAGATGGTCCTCAATAAAATAATTCTTGAAGAAAAATTACAAGGTACTTTTGCCTACATGAATAATGTAACAGTGTGTGGCCATGACTGGTACGACCACAATCACAACCAAAAACAGTTTTTGGTAGCTGTCAACAAATATAATCTTATACTTGACCATGTTATTCTCAATGGATACTCTCCTTTTTTGAAAAAATACATCCACTTACAAAAATTACCAAATTTCCTTTAACTTCTTCTGCCATTGAAGCCTTTGAGGGGTTAAAAAGAGATACTGCAAACTTAGCCATCACTTTGGTGAATCCTGACATTCCCCTAGAAATAGAAACCAACACTTCTGACCTCACCATAGCTACCACGTTAAGGCAATCCAGACACTCAGTAGCATTCTTCGCCAGAACAATGTCAAATCTGAGTGCAGACATTCAGCTGTCAAAAAGGAAGCTTATGTTATAGTCTAGGCACTAAAAAATGGTGATATTTCTTAATTGGTCACTGCTTTAAGTTAATCACTGACCAAAAGTCAGTCTCTTTTATGTTTAATTCCAAAACGTCAAGCAAAATTAAAGATAGCAAGATGGAGGGTAGAGCTTTCCTGTTCTTTGTTCGGCATTGTAAAGAATATTCTGAAAATGAAATTACCTTCTGAAAGTTTTTTCTTAACTTTTCATGATCAGTCAACAATTTGGCACTTCCTTTCTCCTTACTAAAATGTTTATCTGGTGATGCTGGTGTTTTTTTCTCTTCATTATCAATTTTTTGCTGAAATCAAAAAGAAAATATAATATATTGTTGAAAGAAATCTAAAGAAAATATACTAATTTTGCAAAACTACAAAAACAATTATTATGATACAAATTTTGGGCAAGAAAAGTAAATTAGTAGTTAGAAAAATCTAGTTTTATTTGCACCCTTCTTATTAATAAGGTCAGTTCATATTCAAAAAAATGAACTATGTCATCATTTTGTTTACCAAAATTTAACTATAATTTTCACCATAACACTAACATAATTAACCACCATATTCAACAAAGGCAGAGAGGAGCATAACAATTTTTTTGCTTTGTTTCTTCTGGATAACAATGTTCATTATTGTCTGGGAATCAAATGCAAAAACTGAGCCTCAAATAATTTATTTCTTTTTACAATATATAAACATTTGAAGTTTTGTAAGAAGTAGCAATCTGCATTAAAGATACCACCAAATCTCTTTACTCTAGATTTAACCCCAGATTATCAACATAAAAAATGAAGAATAATAGAAAAATATTACTTCTACCACTGTAACAGGGCAATAATAGTGCATGAAATGTCATTCAATGACTTGAGAGAACCTGGATTACTAAGTGAAGGACAGAAAATGCCCAGCAGAAAAAATTATAGCAGACTAGTTAATCAGACTGGAACCTGATTAAAAAAAGTTTGGTCTAAAAATATTAAACAGAATGTATAAAATGCTTAGGAGAATGTCATTGGTGGGATTCGTAACCAAAATAAACTTAGTGAGATTAAACAAATTCAGTACAACTGAATTTTCCCTGTTCCACCTCTCATACCTGAGGAAGTTACAGTGACAAGATTGATGTGTTTGCTAAAATTCTGCAAAATCCAAATGAAATTGGGAAATGTTATTTTAGCATCCTACCTAGCAAATTTGAACTTTTACCAATGTGTCTGGTTCTGAGTACTTTAAAAGCATGGGTTACATGCAATGCTAATAGGAAGTTCTTTGTTTAGGGATAATATCAATCAATGTCATCCACAGGGTAAAAGTGTATATAAACCAAAGCACATGGTCACATAATTAATTGGTAAAGGAACTGCCAGGTAAGCAGGGATTTTGTAGTCAGTTGGTAGTGAGTTGACTGGGAATGAGCAGAGAGTTGTGCACGGATTTTGGAGAGTTGGCCTAAAATTTGCATAATTTCTCATTGTAAGAGAGCTTTGTCACTATCTTTTCTTCTCTTCTCAAGCCAAAAGAAACATCAACTCATAAAAATATTCATCTATTCAAGATCTCAGTGAAAAATTTAACCAAAAGTGATTGCAACTTTTTTGGACAACTTATATTATTAAATTGTTTGTTTTGCTTCTTTGCTTATAATCTGTTCATCTTTTGAATAAGCTTCCAGGAAACCAAAAACCACAGATTCTTGAATTGTACAAAAGAGTACTTCAAAAGTTTTGTGATGTCAACAAACACTCATTGCCACTCTTGTAATGTCAACAAATACTTGTCACGTTCATAATGCTTGTTGTAGTAAAGACTTTGTAATCGCAGATACAACTATAGTAATGCCGTTGAACAATACTTGTGTCAGACACCTTCAAATAACACTCACACAAAAAATTAAATGTCTTTTCTGAGACTCTACACAACTTTTCAGAAGTCAATAAACTGGGTTTACCCATTTTTCCAGGTCTGTTCATTTATGATAGTGATATCAGATCCTGTATCTAGTTGGAATTTTATTTTTACATTATTAATTTGCACAAAAACAAATTTCCTCTTTTGAGATATCTTGTTAATTTCCCTTTTAGGCTTATCATTACTCCATGTATTTATCATGTTCACATACGTTTTAGTTTTTCTCTATATTTTGTATCTGCATCACATACTTTTATGTCCTAATCTCCCACATTCATAACATTTTTTTGTTCTTGAAAAAACAATCACTTTTAAAATGCTTACCTCTAAAACCATAGTAAGTATTAGGTATTGAGGAAGGGGGTGGTTATAGCCTTTTTTTACTGTTCTGTTAGGAGTTGAAAAACGTTTGTAGTTTTTTTCTTTTAGATGGTCACACACTATGTTCTTGTGATTTGTCTTTTTCCTCAATCCTTATGGTATCAAGTTTCAAACTGACAACATGTTGAAACTCTTCCACTATTTTCTGAAGAGTTAATTTTGGATCCCTTTCTAATTCAGCAAGTATCCTGGATCTTATCTCGGCATCCTTATTAAAAGTTAGACCCTGTATGAATATCAGACATTTAAATAAATCAGGAATTAATTCATTCAACTTGAACTTTTCACATGCTTGATTCATGACTCCTGCATAAGTGACATATTATTCATCATCAGACTTCACTAAGTTAAGACACTGCCATTGTTTATTAAATAATGAGCTCCTATCACCAGCAGGGGACAATTTCCTTAACAATAAACAAACTTTTTTTTTCATCATTCCAATGCAAACAATCCCTTTTGAAGATCCCTTCATATCTTCTATAATAAGCTGGCAAAGCTATCCCTTCATCTGGATTGTACACAAATTTGCTGATTGAATTAGCAACAACATCTGGAGTGAATGAATCTGAAGTTTTTCCTTCCATCATTTTGGTAAACAACTCAAAACACTTCTGTTGCTGTAGTTGAAATTGTAATTGCTGTTCATGTTTTTGTTGCTGCAATTGGTGTTCTTCTTGTTGCTTTTGTAGTGCGAACATTTGAACCATGATAGCTTTTAATTTTTCCATTCCACTGTAGTCTTGCTGAATATTTTGCAGCTTAATTTTTTCTTTGTGTAAATTGAACAAATCCTCATGTAAGTTTAAGGAATCCTTGCAAATCCTCGTCGACACTTTTATGATGTCAACAAACATTCATTGCCACTTTTGTAATGTCAATGAATACTCGCCACTTTCATAATGCTCATTGTAGTAGAGACTTTGTAATCACAGATACAACTATAGTAACACTGTTGAACAATACTGGTGTCAGACACCTTCGAATAACACTCACACTAATAGTACTTGCTCAATAATACTCACTCGAAAGTAACCACCGAATAGTGATCAGTACAGAGAAGAGAATTGCGAACTGTAAATAGTAATAGAGGATAGAATAGAAAAAGTGATCAATTAGATGCCATGCTAATTCATATATGTACATTTCCTGTACCATCAGGTGATCTGCTTATTCAAAATGGGATCGCTTGTGTTTGATCTCTGGTGATTTGTGTTCAAACTCCAATGTCAACAACAACAACATTTTATTCCTGTATAACAAGTTACGTTTCAGTAGGTACACAATGAATCAATACTAGACAACTTTATCTGGGATCCAGCAGTAGTTGGAAATCTCAGCTGGACAAAACACACCACCTGCCTGCAACATGTACTTATGTAATCTTCTTCATTTGTTATTTGGTACTAATGGCAAGAGGTAAAAACTGCTATTGTGGCCAGCAAAAGCATGTGTATATTGGATACCTGACCAAGTGGATGGGTATATTTGGTGCAGTGGCCAACTAGAGGTATATAGCCTAATCATCAATGTAAAATGTATTTAGTACTCAATCAACAATGTAAAATGTATTTAGTACTCAATCAACAATGCCACTTAAAAGTCATAGATAGCTATGGTACAAAATAATTGCTTGAACAAATATATACAATAAATGCAAATGTCATTGTGTCACACTTTTTCAACTTTAGTGCTAGAGGCTGTAGCCCAACATATTAGAATCAGGCAGACTCCATGAGCAAAAACATTCCAGGCATTCAGACTGGCAATCCTGAAATTTTAGATTCCCAAGTTTTCAATACTGTGATTGTTTTTGGTTAATTGTTATGTGATTTTTTGTGACAAAATTTTTTGTAGGATAACAATTTTTATAATTTGGAAATAATGATTGTAAAACTTCAAGCTGAATCATAAATAACAAAGCTATTAATTAATGTTTGCTATCTACAAATTTAAAATTTGAAACAGGTAATCTTCAGTTGTAGCAAACATACTTAGATGAATTTGTCAGAAAATAACTGGTTTATTTTACTGATAATAAAAAATGTTTGATAATTAGGGGATTGAAGAAACCTGTGGTTTTTACATTGATAAGCTATATATCATTCAAATTTATATTATTAGATTTGGCTAATAATAATCAATAATCAATTAAACCATACTATAATTAGTTGTTTTAGTCAAAAATATGTGTTTGCATTACCTCCTTCTGACTGACTATAACTGCTAATTTCTTCAACTGTTCATTTTCTGCTTGAAGACGATCAACAACTTTCTTGAGAAGAGCAATGATTTTCTCTAGTTCTTTTGGGCTTTTACCACTCTCTCCAACCTGAAAAATATAGTAACAATTTCAAGAAAAATACAATATTAATGTCCAAGAAATAAATAAACTAGGAACTGATTATAAAGTATCAAAAATATAAAACTGAAAAGAAAAACAATTTTTAATATTTGATTACTTTCATTAGAGCTTTGCAATTTTCCATTACATGTATAATCTTATAATAAAAATAGGTCTTCAGAAGTCTGTCACTGCAAAGAAAAATACTTTTAAAGTTACATATTTAACCCAACAATCTTTAAATCTATTCCTTAAATGCATACATCTCATTTGACACTGAGAGCTACATACTTTCATTTAATAAAAAATTAGCAAAATAAAAATAAATTTCTGTCAATATTTCCAAGATGAGGTATTGTAATTATTTACACTATTTACACTCAGAATCAGGGGAAATGGGATTAGCAATAACTGAGCAATACTAAAAAGAGAACAAGATATCTTTAGACATGGACAATGGAACAAGAACAATCAACTCCCATAAATTAAATAAAAGATTCAGTTTGAAATTCCTTGAAGGTTATCTAGATCAACAGACACCTGATAATGATTAACTCCTCATTCCAGAAATTTAAACAGTAAAATAATATTTATTTTTAAGTTTTTTGTTTAATTACTGGATCTAATTTGTTATTAAACATTTATTTCCAGTTCATTCATTAAAATTCAAATTGATATTCACAATAAAATTTTAAAATAACACTTTTTACATTGTCCGGACTATCATCTTCATCTTTGTTGCCATATTTATCACAACATTTTAGCCATTGTATGCTCCAGCCTTCTTCAGGTGGTTAGAATGTCAAAGTGAACCCTTTATTTCACTCGCTGGGGTAGACTGTTCTAGTTTTAGTCCTCAAGGACACATGGCACAGTGGATAAAGGCGTTAGATCCAGTGACTGGACCCAAAGAGTGTGAGTTCAATACCTGGTTAAGGCAGTGGAGAACTTGGAGAGGGGAATTAACAGGAGATAACTGATAACTGACATTCATTAGACATGGCATGTGGAACTAGAACAGTCTACACAAGCGAGCAAAATAAAGGGTCCAGTTCGACATTCCAACCACGTGAAGAAGGCTGGAGCGTACAACGGCCAAAATGTTGTGATAAATATGGCAACAAAAATGAGGACGATAGTCCAAACAATTTAAATAGTGTACATAATATCTCATCTCAGATATATAGACAAATAACACTTTGCTAACCACTTATCATCAAGGACACAGCTGATAAATCAAGATATTTTTCTTACTATAAAGTTCAAGATATTCTGTAAGTTAATTATTGTGTTATGTATGTTAAGTAAATATTTAAAAAATATGATTTAACAGCTCAGTATGATAAAAAGATTTTCTAAATTATCAGGCCATAGCCATTTTGCAAATATAAGTAGCCTGTACAGTAAATACGAATGAAAAAAAATTACAATTTGTATTATGTATAGATAACTAAAATTAACTCTGAACATACTGCCTCTTTATTTGATTTTTGTAAACATATTCAACATAATGATGCAATGATACATTGAGTGTGGTTCTAAGACACTAATTAATCTGATATTTAAGTCAACAAAAAACATTTAAAAAGATTTAATTCAACAAAAAAACATTAGAAGAATATAGGAACTAAAGTCAATGATATAAAATATGAGGTATGAACTTATGTACAGTTATTGATAATGAATATTGCAATGAATTCACTCCAAAACATGACCCAAATAATCAAGTAACCTATACACATATTTACTATCTGATAAAAATATTATTATCTTATATTTTAGTAATTTAATTTTTTTCTTTGTCAAAAAGTTTATTTATCAAAAGGAAAATAGCATAAAAGAAAGAATTAAAAATTGAAAAAAGATTTCTACCTTTTTAATTCCAGATCTGTCTCCATCTAAACGATTATTCTCTTCTTTCAGAGCATCCACATAAATCTGAAGATCCTCAACTCTTGCCTAAACATTCAGAAAAAGAAAGGAAGCTTAATTTTACTGAAAATGTAGCAAAATCTTTTCCCATTATACATTGATATATAAATCAACATTTTAAGCATAATAGCATTAAAAAATAAAAGAAAAAGTTGACTATTATGTCAAGTATAAAGTTGCTGAGTGAGGTAAAAATAAGGTCATTGCACATGTTGAAGGATGGAAGTGACTTAGTAGCAAGTCTAACAAAGTAAAATTAGCAGCTACTCTTAAAAACAACCTCCAATCAATCATTAATTGAGACATGAAATGGATTGTAAATTTTAATGCCTCCAAAACAAAACTACTTTCAGTTAATTATCATCGAGAACCTTTTCAGCCTTCCATTAGCATGACTGATGCTAACCTCCAAGAGGGTAACTATGTGCTTTCTTGGGCTCATGTTTTTCACTGGCATGAAGTGGAGTGATTATAATGAATGAATAACTAAGTCTAATGCTAGGAAAGTTAGCTCATTGAGTTGTGCCAGACAATTATTTTGAACAGAATCCATCTTGCACATTTATAAATCTATGATTCATCTGTGTATTGAATATTGCTGGCATATCTGGACTGGGGCTCCTATTATATAACTTGAGATTCTTGACAAAATCCAAAGAAGGGTCTTTAAAGTTATTGGTCCTGAGCTGGTATCTCAACTTTGTCATCGCCATGACTTCCCTCTGTCTTTTCTAAAAATATTTTCATGACAATTCTTTACCTCTTGGTTCTTCAACTGCATGAATTTAAGTATTCTCCTAGATTGGCAACTAGGTCTCACCATTTTACTGTTGAACTAGCTAGTTGCAACCATATGTTCTATTTTAATAGTTTCTTTTTCTCACACTTCTCACCTGTAGAACTCTCTTCCATTTTTTGCTTCCCTGCTACCTACAATCTTCAAAAGTTTAAATGCAATGCCAATTGCCATCTTCTGTCTTCTTGATTCCTGTTCTTTTATTGTTCTTTCTTTTCACTAAAGTCTTCCCATTCTCATTCACTCCCAGTAACCCCTTGTGTTTTAGTGGGAAAAAATTCTATTATGCTAATCAAATTGTATGATAGTTGCAAGTTTTATGTACAATTTTTTAACATTTTATCTTTAAAATGTCATTTTTAACAATCTTTTACAATCCTACCTTTAAACGAGGCACATCCTTTTTGGCTTGTTCCATTTCAAAATGAATTTCAATGTTTTCTTTGGATAAGTGTAACAATTGTTTCTGCAGTTCTTGATTCTTTTCAAACACTGCTTGATACTCAGCACAGCTTTGTGATTCCTAAGAAAATAGAAAATTTAAATATTTGTAAGAGTTATCAATATCAAGAGTGATTCTTACCTTTAGAAATTGTATTATATAATTTATACATTATGTAACTGTACGTCCACACACACACACACACATACCCACACATCCTCACATATGCTCAAATATATTAAATGTCTGCTGATTGGATAGATTCGTCCAATCAGGGCAGGGGTTAGTGTAACCTTTTTTGCCACCAAATCGTGGGGTTGTTCAAAACCCTATAAAACCTTTTTCCCGCGAGGAAGCAGTCAGTTGCGGCCACATACATCAAGAAACAGGACATGAATGTTCACAAACTTACCTTCGCCCAACTCACTCATTCTTACAAACCTAAATGTAAATTTTTGTGAATATAATTTACTTTGATTCATGTCACAGATTGAACACGTGTTCATCTTATTTTTAATTCCTCTCTTGTCCGACATCACGAATTTTTATTCTTCACTAAATAAATAATAGTGGTACAGCCCCCCTACAACATAACTATAATCATAGTTAATGCACTTAACAAAGTTGTCTTAAATTCAAAACATGAATAAAAATTTAACCATTTGGTTCCTATCATATAAAAATCATCATTTTTTAACAATACTCTTTTTTGTTTAAGTTTATAAAAGTCAAAAGTATCAAGACAACTGTTGTCACAAGATCTCATCTAATGGACATACTATTTATTGCAAAATACAAAGTGTAATGCATAGTAACAATCAGATTTCTTGGTAAAATTTGATCACCTCATGAACACATTTTAACAATTTTGAAATTTTATTTAAAAATTTACAAAAATAAATTAGAAGTTTTTAATTTTTTGACAGATTGAAATCATGTTTTCTTAGTAATCAGTTATCAATTAAGTGATTACCTTTATTCGAATCAAAGAACAAATGAATTTGATGCTGTATTATTCTCAATAGTTTCACTCAGTATTTCCAATCATGCCACTTTTATAAACATTTCCAGATAAAATCTCATATTGAAAAATGTTTTATTTCAACCAGACTTTAGCGTTGAGATTTAAATCAGAGTATTTAAATCACTTTATATAAGATTAAAATCTGTCATTGAAATAATATTCAGCAAGTTGATGCCAGTGTACTGTACTAAAAAATGTAATTTACAAGAAAAAAATAACTTTAAAAAATGACATACTTTTTCTTTGGTAAATTTAGCTTTAATCGCTTTTTTCATTTCTTCTACTTCTTTCACAAGATATTTGTTTTCTTCTGCAAGTTCCTTCACGATTTGGTCTTGGTCTTTAGCTAACTGCCTTTTCAGTTTTGTCAACTGAAAAGCAAATAAAATTTCAAATGACTTTTATTTGTGTATTAACATTACTGAGTAATGAAAATTATATACAACAGTGATTTATTTATTAAATTACTACAGATGTTAGGTCACTCTTTCTATCGAGTTATTAAAATGAAATGAATCATGATTTATTGAAATTGGATTTTAGTAAAATATCTGTTTTTTGTCAAAAATTCAAAAAATTCTTCTTTACTGATTTGTTCTTTCTCTGGGAAATATAAGAAAATAGAATTTATTCATTTTTAATTTTAAGAAAGATTTTAACAATAAAGAAAAACACAAATCTAAGACAAGGCTAAAGTTAATCATCTTCATAGTCTAATTACAAAAGGATTCTTAACTTTTATCTCTTAAAGTATCCTAGAAGAAAATGAACTATTTTAGTTGTAAAAGTTTTATTAGGTTACAAAATTGAGCATTCTGTTTTGTCAACCAACCTTTGTAGATTAATTTTGTTTCATACTTTTTATTTGAAATCTTTCAGCTATATATCTCATTCTTTGATTTATTATAAGTTTATTCACACTAAAATATTTTAAAACATATAAAAAATATTTATGAAATAAATTAAAGTAAAGTGAATTGAACTCTTACTTCTTCTGTTTGTTGAAAATTTATATCTTTTAAATCATGCAATTCTTGTTTGAGTTTAAAGTCTTGTCGTACAGTTCTTGAGGTAGTTGAGCTTGATGCAATGTCATGAGTTTTAGACATGGTCTTCATTTTTGCTTCAAGACTTTCTTTTTCTCGTTGCAATCTATAATACATAATTTACATGCAAAAAATTGTGTCAGAGGCTAAAAGTAATAACTAAAAACAAAAATTCTTAAACTAATTTAACAAAACCAATGCCATTTACCATACTGCAACAATAAATTTACATGCTGCAAAAAGAGCAAACCACTTTATTCTCCTATAAAATATACACAATAGCAACCAATTTTTATTAATATACTACTGGGCTGCACTCATTAGATGATATTTTAATATTTCAGCATGTTAGATTTGACTATAACCTCTGAAACCATAATTACCATATTCAGTTGGGTTAGCAATCTGTACACCCATAGATTCAATGGAAAGAGCTGAATTATACTATTTAATGTCTTTTAATTTTCATAATGGTCATTGATTCTCTGCAAATATTGGGGAAAATCCAGCTGATACTGTAACAAAACATTACTTCTAACTGTTATTAAATTTCACATTAGTAAAAATTTTGAATGAACCAAAAAACTGACAATGTCTATTTGTCAACAACTCTGTTACTGATGTTTGCTTTCTTGAAGTATTTATCTTTTCTTCTAATTTCTCTGCAAGTTAGGTGATCTGTCATGTATACATTACAAAATAAAATCTGACTTTATATATGTTAACAGTTTTTACATCTCACTTGTGGAACTCTCTTTTGGCATCTTGCTTTTCAGTCAACTTTGATCTTCAAAAATTGAAATGTATTTCAACCTTCTTAATTCCAGTTCTTTTAGTGTTTTCTTTCCTTATATTATCCCACACTAATTGACCCCTTGCATCTTAGTGGTTTTATTACATTGCCTGGGGTGAAAATATATATATATATATATATATATATATATATATATATATATATGTGTGTGTGTGTGAAAAAAGTGGCGATATAAATATAAATATATATGTGTAATATATATATTATTATTTATATATTATATGCGCGGTACTTATTAGAAAGCACTCAATATCAGAGATAGAGTTAACATAATTGGTTGGATTGATGTGAGTTTTTGACTCTGGGTTTCACGCTTTTGCAATTGTCAAACAAACTGATTAATTTTTTTTTAATTTTGGATTTATGTAGATTGTGTGTATTAGTGTTATTATGGAAGTGGGGGTGGAAATCATCGTTGTGATGTCACTCATGCTAATGCAAACATAGATGCATGTCCATACACCCGTTGAGGTATGCAGACACACATACACACTCGCTTGCCAGCCAGGTCTCATACAAACATAAACATATGTGGACAGTATGGGACTTGACATATGTATGTATGTGTGTGTGCTGTTGTCTATATACATATGAATTTGTATATTGAAATTCAAAGATTGGAAGTGTAGCGAAAATTTCTTGTGAATGTATACATGTCAACAATCAGATCATTTTTCTATTCTTTCACTGAATAATATTTCCTCACACGCACATATATACGTGTGGTGGGGTCTGTGTAAAATTATGATAGGTAAAAAAAATTGCTATTATTTTTTATTTTTTTTAAGGCTGATTTGTTATTATTTTTAAAGCTGGTTATTTGCTAAACAAGCAACCAAATATATATATATATATATATATATATATATATAGAGAGAGAGAGAGAGAAAGAGAGAGTGAGAGAGAGAGAAAAAAAAATTTGTTTGGGGTAGAAAATAGCTATAATCACATTCCTAAACCAACAGAAATGACTAAATAAATGATTGGAACTTATCTCAAAATGCAGATAAAAAAAAAACAATTTTTTACTACATTATTTAAAAATCAAAAACTAACTAAAAGTGAATACTTCATGCAACATTGAGAAAAATACAAATATATGCATTATACACAATACAGTTAATGTAATATATTTTAAACAAAGCTAATACTCTCAATTAAACAAACAATTAAGATACTTTAAACTAAACAAACAACCACTTTAATTGACTTTCTCAACTACATTATATCTCATGGGGTACTCAAATCTGATGCAAACTGATTACTCCCACTTAAATATCAATTCTGAAAGACAAGTCTGCACTACATCCTATTGTAGAAGCTATGAAAAAGTAGTCCCACTATTTATATAAGCTCAATGCTTTACCATCATCACGGATCAACAAGCAGTGAATTTCATGTTTCATATGGAGAGACCTGAGAAAATTAAAATGATAAAATCTAAAGATGGAGAATAGAACTAGGAAGCTACAGAATTGTCATATTTAATTACTTCTATTGAATGAAATTCTTTAGGAAGTTATTACCTCTCTTGATGAGAATCTTTTGGTAGAAATATTTTTACCTCTCTGGAATTTGGTTTTTCTAGCATTTGGTTAGCCCAGTCATAGGTGACTTTGCTCCTTAAAGACTTTGTTAAGGTATTTTCAAGTTCAGTTATTCTTTTTACAATATATATATTGTAAAAAAAGTTTGCTTTCTAGTTCATAATCAATCCAATGAAATCTATTCAACTGATGTCTATAGACAAAATATAAAACTTACCTTTCCAATGCAATTTTTAAGTGTTTCACTTCTTTTTCATGTTTTACCACTTCAGATTCTGTTTCCTTTAATTTGGTTTTCATTTTTTCAAAAGTCCTTTCCCATTTTTTACGTTCTTCCCACTTAATAAGTTCCACATTCTATAAAAAAATTAGATTGTTGCTCTATTAAAATGTCTCAGAACAATGACAGCAAAAATTAAATATTTTACACACAAAAATTTCAACATACAACAAGTAGATTAATTGCTGTTCTGATCATCAACTTGAGGCTATTCTCACACTATTATTTTAAGAGGCTAACTCTGGTTACACACATACATTTGTTCCCTGCCACAATGTCACATGAAGGTATTATGTGGCAAATTAAGTTGATAAAATTAGGTACCTCCAAAAATTTTCTTTAAAAGAGCCTACCATGATGAAAAAAGGTCCCAACTTGATAAAAACAAAGTTTTATCATCAAAATGTTTGTTATTATTAAGAGGAAAAACCAAAGTATTTTTTATTAAACTTTTTAATCTTTTCTAGCACATTCAAAATTTTGGTTAAAAATCTTGTCTTTTTTGCATCAGCATTAGTGTAGGGAATTTTAGTGTCTTTCTTGTAAAAATCAGATAATTGTCAGATTTTAATGAAATTTTCAGGACTTATTTATAAATGAATTAAATTATTTTGGAAATTTTTTTTTAAAAAAATCTTGGTAAAAATATATTTTTTTTTTTTTACATCTATTGCTTTCACTTAATGTGATGAAATTTTGAAAAATTAAAATTTCAGTCTCTTCATATTTATATTAGTTAAAAGCAGGAATCCTTGGAGAATTTAAATCATTAATTTTTTTTGTCAAACAGAAACACCATTTACTGAAAATCTGCTCTGAATTGTAAAATAAAAAATGCAATAAAACTATTACATTATTTAACTAGAAAAGCTTTTAATTGTTTTTATAAATAAGATATATTAAGAATGCTATTGTCTTAAGAAAAAAATATTTTTGATGACTAATGAATTTTCACAAGAATTGTTTTCATTTTTTTTTTTATTTTAATTAGAAAAACTTATTATGTTTTAAATCTTTTAAAATTCTGTATTAACTTCAACCTTTTAGATTATATTATTATTAAGTAAAAACTAATCATAAATGGAAAAACTTAATACAAATCATCAAACACCAATATTTTTAAAAGAATTTTAAATTTTTTTGTATGTGTATAAACTTGCTAATTTTTGTAAGTATGGACAATCATACATGACTTTATTAGATAATAAACACAATAACTATAGTAAATTTAAAGTCATCATTACTAAAATTCAATAAAACATTAAATTATGGAAAATAGTTTCCTAAATTTTTAAGATTATTTAAAAAATGATAAAAGGCACTGATGTCATTTTTTTCAATTATGTTTAACAGATAAAGTCTCAGTAGAACAACATTAAACATGTCAACATGTCAACACAGCTATTGTCAGGTTATAAAATGCATTTCTGCGATATTTTAAACTTAAAGTAAATATTATTTGTTTCAAATCAGATTAATAATACTTTAAATCAGCTAATATTCCTCAAATAAAGATTCAGAAAATATGTTTTATTTTGGGAAGATTTTATTATAATGAAAGATGACTAAAAAACATGCACTAATCAGCTATTTTAACAAGAAAAAAACTCTTTCGGTCAATTTAAATTAGTTTTCAAAATGCACCAAAGTATTTTGTGTATTGGAAATAATAAATTTAATCTATCAGCATGAAATGAAAACAAAAATAAAAGTTTCAAGAAAGATTTTTCATTTTTTTAAACCCTAGATATCATGTTTTTTGTGGAGGTCTCTACTTAAAATACAATTGTATTTTATTCAAATCACTATCAAAAAAGAATATGAAAACATGAAAAGTTATCTACTGCTCACTACAATAACAATAGTTCATGGATGATATCTTTGTGATTGACAAACTGCAGTAAGTGTTTTTTTTAATTTGAGACTTTGTGCTGCAGTCAGCATCTTTTGTGACAAATTTTTTTTTTCAAGAAAGTAGCACCACAGTAATATTTGAACTACATTTAATAGCCTATTTCTATTGAGCAAGAAAATGATAAACATTTTGTTTACTTTTGATTTTTCTGTTTTTGCTTGCTCATAAGGTTTTTCAGCTTGTTCTTGTTTGCGCTTGACTTCATCTTCCAGAAATCGTACACGTCTCCGCATTTCATTTAGCTCCTGGCTCTCATCTTCACTAGTTTTCTTAAAAAAAAAAAAAAAAAAAAGGATTCCAAAACTTTTTGAACAAAATATATTTGTAAATGTAAACAAAAACTAATGATAAAAGTTTATTCTTAATGATATTTAATAATGAAATAAGTGTTTCATATACAAACATGATTATACAGGAACCAAACAACAAATCCAAAAGTGGATCTCAATTTCATAAACAGAAGAAATCCTCTTGATCAATAATCATCACATCTATTTTTCCATTTTGAATTCAACATTTAATATTTACTTATTTCATGTCGTGGTCATTATTTAGATAACCACATAGTAGAAGCAATTATTCTACTCTGAAAAAATATATTTTTTTAATTTAAAACAGAAGAAAGTTGAAAACTCATACCTTAGAAACTGACTTAAACTGATTTCTCTTTTCTAATTCTTCTACTTGAAATTGAAGCTTTTGTTTCTCAGACTTCAGTCTTTGTAATATGGTGTTTTTCTTTGCTACAAATAAAGGAAACTAAACTTGATCAAGTTATTAATGGTTGAAAAGACTCAAAAACAAGAAAATTATGTTGAAAATAACATTCTTCTTGACTTGGAATTTCATGGAAAAAAACAAAAGAGAAATACATTTGTAATAAAAGAAGACAAAACTATATTTTTACAAGTTGTTTTGTTGCAATAAATTTGCTAAAACTCAATAATAAATGAAACAGACAGGAAAAACCTGAAAGTTTTGCTATAGAAATTATCAAATTATGCCTTTTTTCTTACTTTTTTACTAAGAAAAAGTCAAAGTACAAATAAAGCAATGGCCAAATAAATATATCTCACTTCCCCATTATTAGTCTTGATTTGGTCATGCTTTCAATCCTCATATTATAACACTTATTCCTTTTTTAACGGAGTTAAATTTCAAATTAAAAAAAAACAAAATACTACATGCAAATATTTGGAACACATATGAAGAATTCTATCTCAAATTCTTTGTCAACTGGTGTACTTGGATGTCTTTTTCTTTATTCTCTTTGCAAACTTTCACCCCTAAATGAATAGACATATATGATAAAAACAATATCCATAAAACAACAGTAAGCCCATAAAGCCTAACATAAAGACCTTTGAAAAAATATTAAAAATGTTGTATCATGGGATAAATATACAAAAACCAATTAACAAAACAACTTACTGATTTCTTCTTGTGCTTCTTCCAAATGTGACTCAAGATCTTGCTCTTTTTCTCGCTTCTTCTTCAGATCATTTTTAATTCTCTCATTCTGAGCTCGTAGTGTCTCAATTTGCTCCTGAAAACATTTATCTTAAAATATAATAATTTGTATAAGTTGCTTCTTCTTTCAGCCATAAAACTTTGTAATTTATACAGCAAGAAAATAGCTGATGGAAAGTAAATCATTACTTTCAAAAGATTTGTAATATTTTTGCTTAAAAATATTTTCATTTTTAAATATTTAAAAATATATATAAATTTATTTTAATATTTTATTGTTTTCATAATAGTCATTCTACATGAGGTTTTCTTATATAATACATAGAGAACAAAATTTTATTAACCTAAATATATGTTTCAAGTAATTCAAGATTAAACTTACAGGTAAGATTCACTAGATTACAGTAAAGGATCACATATACAGATCAATAAATGCATAGATTTAAAAATGTGTATCAATAGTACTCCAACCCTATATTAATACAATGTATAGAATCCTTGCACTATTAAGACAAGCCTGTACTCTTTACACATATGATCATAGAAATAGCAAATACCATCCTGTAATAAATTATTCAACATCTCTTGCAAGTGCTGATATAATACAGCAACATTTGTTTTGAGATTTTTTTAGGAGAAGCATTTATAACTGTCTTAGATTATTGAAATTTTAATATATCTGTACTATACATCTAATAGATGGCCAACCAAGTTTTGTTATTACAGATTAAGAGACTGCTGTAACAGCTCTTTGACACACCCAACTAAACATTGCTTATCGCAGCTGACCAGTTTGCAGAATGCAGTCAGAACATGAAGACAATTTGGATGCAATTTAGAGTTGGTGTGGCAACTGTACACAAACTTATTCATGAAGATCTGAACATACACAAAATTTGTGCAAAATTTTTTTCCTAGGGTGCTCTTTAATGAACAGAAAGAAAAATGCATGGGTGACAGCAGAAAGATGGTTGACAGTCATCAAAACTATCCCACACCCACCCTACAGTCCAGACAATGCACCCTGTGACTTTTGATTGTTCCCCAAGCTGAAGGAGAATTTCAAGGTTAGTTGTTTTGAAGACATTGAGAAGATGAAGGAGGCTGTAACAAAGGTCCTGGGCACCTTCACTTTGGATGATTTCCATGGGACCTTCAAGAAGTAGCTGGAGCACTACAACTACAACAAGTGGATTGAAGTCAGAGGATCTTACTTTGAAGGAGATTAGAACTTTGTCTCCTGAAAATGCATGAAAACTTCTGGAATGCACCACATATATATATATATATATATATATATATATATATATATATATATATGTGTGTGTGTGTGTGTGTGAAAAGTGTATGTATATAAAATATATATATATATATATATATATAATTATTTATATTATTTATATATTATGGTACTTATTAGAAAGTGCTCAATATCAGAGATAGAGCTAACATATTTGGATTTGGATTGATGTGAGTTTGTGACCCTGGGTTTCATGCTTTAGCGATCGTCAGACAAACTGATTAATTTTTTTTAAATTTTGGGTTTATGTAGATTGCGTTTATTGGTGTTATTATGGAAGTGGTGGGGAAACGTAAATCGTTATTGTCATCGTACTAACGCAAACATCGATGTATGTTCATACACCTAATGGAGTACGCAGACACATATACATACTTGGTCGTCCGTCGGGACTCATACATATATAAACATATGTGGGCAGTTTCGGATATGATATATGTATGTATACGGGTGGTGTTGTGTCTATACATATGCATTTGTATGTTGAAATTCAAAGATTGGAAGTGTAGTGAAAATTTCTCGTGAATGTCTCGTGAATGTATACATGTCATATTTTTATTTTTCCACTGAATAATATTTCCTCGCATGTATGTATATACGTGTGGTGGGGTTTGTGTAAAATTATGATAGGTAAAAATTATTATTGTTTATATTTATTTTTAAATTTTTGAAAGAAAAGGGGTTTATTTGTTATATTTAAAGCTGGTTATTTGTTTGTTTTTGATGACTGTGTATATGTAACAGGTAGAAATTTCGGTTTGTAATCCTTATTGGTTATTTTATATGGTGATATTTAATATTTAATATGCTGGGTGAGAGGGTAGTTTATGTTAATAATTATAGCGGGTCTATATGATATGATGTGATAGTAATGTTGTAAGGGATTGGAGACAATGATAATATAATTAGCTAATAGTTATTGTAAATTGGTAGAAGTGATTAGTAATGGTGGTGGGAGAATGATAAAACCATAAATGTAGTTATAGTGGTGGTAGCTTGAACTAAAAAGTGGTTGTTGGTGTTTTATTTTATTTTGTTATATGTATTAATTTATTTTGGTATAATTCCTGATAATAGGTATTCTGTGTAAAATTATGATAGTTGAAGATTGCTATAATTTTAATTTTTAATTTACAAAAAAAAACATTATTGTTATTATATTAAAAGCTGGTTATTTCCTTGTTTTTTAGTTTTTTTGATGACTGTGTATATGTGACTGGTATAAATTTCAGTTTGTAATCCTTATTGGTTATTTTTATGGTAGTATTAAATATGCTGGGAGAGGGGGTAGTTTACGTTAATAATTATGGCGTGTTTATATGGTAATGGTAGATGTGGTGTGATAGTAAGGTGTAAGGGGGTTGGTGGCAATGATAATATAAGTGGTTAATATTTATTGTAAATTGTTAGTAGTGATTAGTAATGTTGGTGGAAGAATAATAAAAACCTATAAATGTAATTATTGTGGTGCTAGCTTGAACTAAAGAGTGGTTGTTGGTGTTTTATTTTATTTTCTATATTTATTTGTTTATTTTTATTTATTTTGGTATGAATCCTGGTAATGAGTATTTATTCTCATGGTTACATATGGAAATTATATCTGATCTTATTGTTTTTAAGGTATTAAATATGCTGGGGGAGTAATATATGTTAATGATTATAGTGGATTTATATGTTAATAGTAAATGTGATGTGTAAGTGATGGTGTTGGGTGTTGGTGGTGATGATAATATTATTAGTTAATAGTTATTGTAAAGTGGTAGAAGTGATTACTAATGGTGGTGCAATGATAATAACGATAGATGCCATTATTGTGATGGTATCTTGAAATTAAATTGTGATTGTTGGTGATTTGTCTGTTTTATCCGTTTGGTATGAATTCGGATAATAGGTACTTGTTCTCATGCCTACATTTGGAGATTATCTCTGATTTTTGTTTAGTAAATTCTTTTGCGGTTTGTGTGATATTATTGCTACTTTTTCGTGTAGGCAAAGTAGGCATTTTTTTGTAATGTTGCTGTAGGCAGGGCTTTTTCAATATTTCCCAACTTATTGTTGGTGTGATATTTTGTCTTTTTTGCTGCCATATGTATGTAGAAAGTGTGGTGCTGTTCGAATATTTCCTGTTGGTGAATGAAAGGTTGTGATTAGGGTCACAAACTCACATCTATCCAACCAAATATATATATATATATATATATATATATATATATACTAGCTGAATTATCAACACCTTGCTGCTGTTATAATTTGTGGAAAAAAATGATGCATTTCAATATTACTCAATGATCTTGCCAATGTTACCTCAATCTTCTGCCTTTCTCCTATATTTTGGATAGGCATCATTTGTTTGTTCAAATTTAAATTTAATTTAAATCAAAGGGAAAAAATTTTCAATGGTGGGTTTGTGAAAAAACAGCTTGATCTGATCCCTTTGATATGTATTTGATGGAATGCAAGATTGAATGAATTGATGAGCAACATTGATATGACAGTTGAATTGTCACAACAAATATGTCTTGTAAGGCATTATCCACTGATTGGTGATTTATGGTCAACCTGACATCCATATTGTCTCATTTTGATCTTGCCAATGTGACCTCCATCTTCTGGCTTTCTCCTTTTATATTTTGGACAGGAGTCATTCTCTTGTTCAAATTTAAATTTAATTTAAATCAAAGGGAAAAATTTTCAGTGGGGGTTTTGTGTCCCCTGGGGACCCTCCTTGATTAAAATGATCTTGCCAATGTGACCTCATCTTCTGGCTTTCTCATTTAAATAAAATGGAAAAATTTTTTCTCCTTTGATCAAAATGAAATATACTTATCCAAGTACCCTGGGTAATGTAGTTTCAGAATATATATGCTTATCTCCAAAACCCTAGGAGGAGTTTGATAACAGACAGCGGCTACAACGTTATATATATATATATATATATATATATATATATGCATGCTCTAGTTCATTTGGGAAAAATGTTGGTTCAGTAACTAAGGCTTGCAAGTGGTTTAAATTAGTAGATAGCCAAAGTTCTAGACATACTTTTTATACAGTGGTTAATCTTATTCTCCAAAAATCTATAATATAACATTAATACAAATTTTTAAACAATATCTCATCAGTTCTTGTAATTTCTTTTGTAACACTTACTTTAAATTCCTCTGTATGTTTTTCTACCAATTTCTGCATATTGAGTTCTTGCTTCTTTTCTTCTTGATGAGCCTTTAATGTTTCTTCAGCTTGTTCAACCATTTCAGCACGGATTTTTGATAAAGCTTTGCCCAATGCCTGAAACAAAATTAAATTATTCATTTAAACCAGATGTGTTTGAGGAAATAAAATTAATTTTGAAACAAATTTCTGAAATGCTAATATTCCTTTAGTACAAGTATTTGATTTTTTTAAAAACTGAAGAGATTCAATTTAAAATTTATGCACCATATAGCAATTTAAAAAGAAGCACACACACACAAACTTTATCATACTATATTAAAAATAAATGATTTCATAGCACCAACTAAAAATAAAACAAACTTTATATTTAAAAGTTAAATTAATTTTATTTTTCTGATATTTTTCCCATGATATAACAAATTTAATATTTTAAATGCGAGAAAAATTTTTGTAATCAGTAAACAATAAAAATAAACTTAACAAAAATCTATCATTTCTTTAAAAAATGAACGAACTTATAATCTTTATGATATATAATATTATATTAGGAAAATTAATTACAAAGTGGGAGAAATTTTTTGTGTGATATGTTTCCTCATTCTGACGAAAATGATGCTTACATTGATGCAACTACACATGCACAGGAAGAATAAAGGGCACTAAAATTTTAAATTTTTTAAATTAAATTTTTTTTGCTTTAATTACAAAATTACCCACAGTAGATTTGTGTTCATGTTCTTACAACATTTCACCTTCCTTGGCAGATCTTCTGTTATATCACAATGTTGGATACTTAATAACAAATGTGATAAAAACATAAACAAAGTCAAAAAAAAACTAAATGAAATTAGCTAGACTATAGACCTAAACTAATCTCATAGTTCTCAGCAACAAGTCTAAGACCAGGATCATACAATAGTAGCACAGTGTGGTATATGAGCTAATAGAGAAGAAAACAGAGATCTACTGATGGGCTGATTTAAAATCCAACAGACACCAACAACTCTAATATATATATATATATATATATATATATACTAGCAGCATGACCCGGCGTTGCCTGTGCTTAATTCAAAAATCGTACAACTCATACAGCAATCGCTATCACTTGACTTAAAATATTTTTGCCCTTCCTTGCCTTTAAAGGAGTGCCCTTTGCCGTGCTGATGCTGCTACATGCCTTACTTCTTGCCTATCTCACACTGCAAATTTTTTCTAAGCTCTATACTAAACATTAAATCTGTTACGAAAGTGTCAGAGCTCCCTCCGGGTCAGGTCCACATGCTGGTATAATTTGCTACACGTATAAGGGCCAGGGTCACATGGCTAGGAATTGCACAAGTGCAAAACGACAAGTGCACCGTTTCTGATGCAATGAAGCCAGACACATGGCTCGAAATTGTCTGGGAATAAGATTGCGCCGATCTCATCCCCAAATGACATCTAAACAAGGCGCTGCCGATCATCCAAATTCACATTGGCGAGACACCATGTTTGGCCCTCCTTGATTCTGGCTGTTCTCGAACAATAGTAAATGCGGGACTCTGCCACACCTGGGTGAAGAGAAGCATCAAGGTAACCACCATAAACAGTGAAACGCGTGCATGTCATGGGATAGGGGCGGTGAGGATCCGCACAGACACTGGGAATTTTGCCGACATTGAAGCGCTGGTGGTGCCCGAGAAGTCATTAAACTTTGAGCTGCTGCACAATCGCCATCATTGAGTTTTTTGACGCTGGTCAAATTCAACGCTGAAGTTTCAGGAGGTGGCCCCGTGTGTGCAGCACTAAAAATCGACCAACCTGACTTCAGCGTTGAATTCAACCAGTGTCAGAAAGCCTGGACTGCCTCATGGAAATGGAGGGCAGACAGGAAACCAGTCAAGCTACAAAACAACATAGCTGAATACCATGTACCCAACCAAATACGACCTGCTTACGAAGAGGAACTGCATGCATGGATTAAAGATGGCTGGTTGATTCCTTATCCTCGTAAAAAACTTGGTTCTCTTAAGGGTCTGATCCCATTGATGGCGATTGTGCAGCAGAGCAAATCCAAGGTGAGGCAGGTGATGGATTTCCGGGAGTTAAACCAGTACTGATGCCGATGTTTGTGCCAGCAAGTTGAGGGAATGGCGACAGCAAGGATCTAATGTCTCCTTGCTGGATTTAAGAAAAGCCTATCTACAAGTGCAGGTCAGTGAATCATTGTAGCCATTTCAGACAGTGATGTTTGCCGGCAGAAGATACTGTCTCACCAGACTGGGCTTTGGCCTAAACGTAGCCCCGCAAATAATGAAAACCATTATCAGTGTTGTGTTGTCTCAGAAAGAGACAGTTAAAGAAGGAGCATCAGCGTACATTGATGATATCTATGTGAACGAAGATGTTGTGTCATCACTGTATGTAAAGGTGAAACCAGCACAGTTCGGCTTGACCTGCAGGGACCTGGAGTGGCTAGAAGACGGCGTCTGCGTGTTGGGTCTGGATGTTCGAGGGGAACATAGAACCTTGCAATGGAGATGCGGAACTGCAGTTCCTGATATACCCGATGTCTTAAGAAGACGGACCATTTTTTCCCTCTGTGGAAGGCTTGTGGGGCCCCTACCGGTATGCGGATGGCTTCATGTGGCGGCAGGCACCATGAAACGTTGGGTGAGCGTGGTCACCAAAGGAGGGGATGATGAGACAACTGACACTGCTCATTCGCATAATCATAGCAAGAGTAAAACAGAATGACCCTGCCAGAGGGAATTGGTGCATGCCCAGAGAGGAAATGAATGTTTGGGTCGATGCAAGCTCCCTAGCAATTGGAGTCCTACTGGAGAGGGATGGAATGGCAATCGAGGATGCACGCTGGTTGCGTCCAATGAATGATGCTGCACACATCAACCTGGCAGAGCTGGACGATGTACTAAAAGGAGTCAATTTGGCACTCCAGTGGAGGGTAAAAAGTTGCATCTGCAAACTGATTCCTTATGCGTATACCATTGGGTGTCGGACACCTTGACAGGCAAGGCCAATATGCGCACCAAGGCAGCCAGCGAGATGCTCATTAGAAGATGGCTGGGCACTATTAAAAAACTGGTCACTGAGTACAATCTGTCCATGGATGTAACACTGGTAACATCAAGCTGCAACCTTGCTGACAAATTGACTCGGATACCACAAAGATGGTTTGACACTGCAAAAAAGGACGCCAAGCCTGTACCACCGATGTGCGCTGCATCTGTGGAGAAGCCGGACGAGATAATGAGGATACATCATTGTAGTGGGCACCCCGGCATAAGAAGGACATGCTATTTCGTACAATTGACCAATCCGTCAGTATCTACAAATGCCATAAGGGCCATGGTCAAGGGATGCCGAACATGCCAGTCAATAGACCCTGCACCAGTTAAATGGCAAAAAGGAAAGCTTGGAGTAAGACGCACATGAAGCAGGCTGGGTATGACCCATTACGGCGGCCAGAATTTCTTCACACTGATAGATTGCAAGCCCACCAGATTCGCAGTCTGGCGACCGTTGTCATGACAGGACTCGTCAAGCGTAATCCGCCAATTGGAGTCGGTATTCTATGAACGAGGACCACTGGAAGAAATCTCACTGATAATGACACTGCCTTCTGCAGCAGACAGTTCCGATGCTTCCTGGATGAATGGAGGATCCAGTTTCGACTGCGATGTGCACATGTGCCAAGTGGTAATGGCATAGCGGAAAGGTGCCACCGAAGTATAAAGAGGATCATTGCCAGAAAGCAGTGCACAGTCATGGAAGCTGTATACAGATACAATACTACACCGAAGGACAACGTATCTGCTTTAAGTGCCTCCGCCAATGCAATATATAGCTACCAGGTACGGATCAAAGGGATCAACGGAGAGTACCTGCCCGATCGATGAGAAGTGCGTGGATCATACAAGATAGGAAAGGCCGTCTGGGTAAAGCCTCCCAATAGTCAGTGCACCACCCAATTTAAAAAGGGCCGCGTCACCGGTATCATCAGTGAGCACACCATATTAGTCAATGGACTCCCACAACATGTGAGGGATCTGCGCCCTGTCCTCAACACAACCCCCTCCATGAACGACGGTGAGGATGATTCGTCGGAAGGAGAATTGCTAATTGAGCCTGCAGCTAGCGATTCACACGAGGGCCCACCGAGTAGCCCTGTTAGCTCTGACAGTTCTGAAAGCTCCTTGTAAGAAGTTCCGATAGTGCCCCTTCGGAGAAGCACCCGAAACAAAAGACCACACCTGCACTGTTATTGATCAGGAGACATGGGGGGAGTGTGCCGATAAATATTCACACTTAGCAGAGTCGAAGCGTCCAAGATGTCCAAGAGGTTTTGCTTGTCGGGCTGCTGTTTTATTATGGATATGTGCATAAACCCAAGCTAGGCAGTCTGTCATTTCATCAACTGCATCCTTTCCTCTTGCAAGTGTGGTCCGAGAAAAGTACATTCTCCGACATTTGTTGATTTTATGCTGCTTGGCACAATTTGTCTGGTGGCGGTCTGCATGCTAATTGGTCAAGCTGGGGACTTCAGGTCAATAAAAACGGTCTGGGAGATTGGCTGGCAGTGCCACTGGGACTGTGGTGATGTGCACTGCTATAGAGATTCGTATTAAGTTACAACTCTGTTTATTTTTGTCTGGGAGCTGGACGCTAGCTTCAAACCTACCGCTAGAGTGAGCGGTGTAATTACCGGTGTCTACCGAAACATGGAAAGAACACACTGAACTGCAACAGTTTGGGATACTATTATATATCATACTAACACATACTAACATACATACACTTACACACACATAAACAATTATAAAATTCCCTATTCACTGAAAATAAACTATTTAGTGAAAAAAATTATTAATGAAAATAGAAAAGAAAAAGTTTGAAGCATGATAAATCACCTGATTTTGGTTTTCTTTTAATGAAAGCTGATTGCGTAGTTGTTCAACCAATCTCTTCATGTTTGCACTTGGTGTTCGACTATTGGCATTTTTCACAGCAGAAATTTCTTCTTTCAATATCTCAATATCCTTTTCTTGTTCTTTTATTTTAGAAACCATTTTTTCATTTTCTATATCTTTGTTAGAGACATCAACTCCATGCTGTTTCAACAGACTTAAATGAAAAATAGACAAAGTAAAATACAAATTTTAGAAATGACAAATAAATATTCATTTAAAAAAAAAAAAGAATTGAACCTTATTGGCAGAATTAGATCAACAACAAAACTATATAGAAACATTTATAAGAGAACATACCAACCAAAACAATATGTAAAATAAAAAAATACATATATAAAAATAAACCATGTGACACAATCCCATATTTGAAATGCTCTCAAATTCTTGATGGTTAAACTTCCATACAGGATTGGCTTTAACCTTCTTTTCTTGTTTCTCTGGTTTTTAGTGTGATAATGTCTTGCTAAAGACTCAATCATCATCAGAGTCTATCATTTACATATAACATTGTATAAATTATAAAAATACATTGAAATAAATATGATTTATTTCTTTAAACTTTTTTACTGCACAATTACAAACAGTTTCACTAGATCAAATACAACTGAGTCATGAGTTTGATTCTCACTGTGTGTTCCATACTTTTGGGCTTGTGCCACATCTAAGCTATGCTTAGAAAATCACCATAATTACAGGCAGAGACTTTAAGAGAAAAGATGCAAGTGGGACCAGTCTTTTAAATTTACTACTAAATATTAGGCATAAATGAATCAGCGGTTTGTCTAATTTGTCATTTCCAAATGTTAAGTAGACCTAATTCAAATATGACTTGTTTGGTTTAGCCCTGCTTATTAACTAATTTACTTAGCTTCTTTCTTTTCTTTCAGTATAAGCACTTAATCTAAACACTTATGTTTTCTTACTTTTTCCTTAGTGTATTTAATTTCTTTTAATAATGCATTTCTTTCTTTCTTCCTTTCTGCTCTTCAGGATGATTTTGTCTTTTGTTTCTTTGCCTATTAACGAATACCATGGACATTTCTTTTTATCTCGGGTTACTGCTCATTTCCTTCATTCTTTATTTGGTATTTTCTTTTTTGCCTTGCTTCCCATCACAGTAAGTTATCTAAATCTTTAGTACTTCCCCAAAATTAAACCACCAAGCCTTACGAGAACACAATAAATTAGACTTGGACCAGTCATCTCTCCAGATGCATGAGCATGTATACCCCTGTGCATGCCAGACACTGTTTGTGATTCTCAACAGGCTGTCTAAATTACTGCTTCTTGATTGAATATCATAATTTAATTGACAATGAAATAAAATCAATAAATTTTGATCCACCAGAATTTGACAAATCTATGCTTCAAAAATTTTATTACATCGCTATTTATTTTTCCTTTAAGTACTGTTGACTATCTATCCCATTTGTTTACTGGAAACAGGAGGTTTTTATCTCACTTTTCTTTTTTTTTTTAAAGAGTCCCATTTTGCCACTGGAGACTATCTTTTCAGCCAACTGTCACTTATTATTATTGCTTAAGTAACCTTAAATTTAAGACAGGTTTTGCATCAGGACCCTGATTCCAGTTTATCTAAGTTTGTCAACTCTCTTTGCCATTTAATGGTTTCAGGGTGATCTTCTTGTAAGGGTGTATAGAGGAACTTAGTTTTTGTCAAAATTTATAATGGTTTATTGGCATATCAACTCTTATGTGGGTTATTTAATGCCAGAATTATTTCAATATTAGAAATGAAGGGCTGGAATATGAGTCAGAAGAAGAAAAAAGGAACACCTTAGGGGATTAAGTCAAAGTTTGGGTCAAAATTTTTATGTGTAGTGTAGGAAAATAATGTGTTTATGATTTCGGGATTATATTTTCATGTAAAATTTGACTTCTTTCAGGAATTGGATTATTTTGGAGGAATTAACTTTGCTGAAGAGTTCTTTTAAGTTGTTTACTTGATAATATTCTTTTTGGATTAGGTTTAGATCCCCAAAATCTCTAGGATGTGTTTCATTGTGTATTATTCTTGACATGCAATACACATTCAGTAGACGATTATGTGTAATTTGAGTATGACTCATGTGGAGTCTAGCCAACACAACCTTCTCTTTTCTTATATTTCTGTATCCTAGTTTCCACTCTCCTGTGATGGAGTTGATGCTATATAGTTAGTTGTTTGAGTTGGAGCTTCAACACTCCTGCTATTTATTAGGGATGGATTTATTTATGTTAGGTTTGAAGTCAGTATATGGGATTTTTATACTTAATGTTTAGTGCCTTCTTTAACTCTGAATCAGCCCTATTATTAGCCTGTATATATATATATATATATATATATATATATATATATATATATATATCAATATGGCTTGGTGTGGAGAACATTCTTAAATCCGCCCCCCATGGCCTATCGTTAAAATGGACTGTGCCTGCTTATAGATAGTTCTGCTTGTACTAACTGTTGTATTGTGCTGAATAAAACCTAATTTGGGTTACTTTGCTCTGTGTCTTTTATTACAATTTATTCAGCATAATACATAAATACTTTTCATTAATGCTGTCTCAGTCTCTGAGAAATATGGACAAAATTTTGCAACCTCAGATATTTGAAACTTTCCCCAGTTCGAAGAATGCTGAAAAGGATTGGAGGCACTGGTTTGTCATGTTTGAGAATTTCCTGCAAAGTATAGAAAAATATGCCCCTGACTGACGAACTGTGCTGCTAAACTTTATAGGCCCATCAAGTGTATGAATTAATTTCTGACTATCCAGACTATGAGAGAGCTGTCAATAGACTCCAGCAATTGTATGACAAGCTGAAAAATGAAATCTATGCCAGGCATATACTATTGAATTGCCAGCAAAACCAGAAGAGATGCTAGACAAATATTTTCTAAATCTGAGGCATTTAAGCGAGGATTGCAACTACAAGGCAGTCAGTGCTGAGGAACATAAAGCCAACACCATAAGAGATACCTTCATAAGCGGGCTTTTGTCCCCTAATATTCGACGATGACTACTCGAAAATGTAACTCTGGACCTTACCACTGCCTTTGACCAAGCCAGAGCTCTTGAACAAGCTCAGAAAAGTACAGAAGCCTACTCTATCTCTCAAACAGTTGTTAGTGCTGTAGCCCCCTTTGAGGGTAACCTCTGCAGCCCAACAGAAAACATAGTATCCACAGTTGCTTCTAAAACTCAAAAGTGTTTCTTTTATGGAAATCATAGGCATCCTCGCCATAACTGCCACTCTTCTTTCTTCTAATCCTGTGGTGATGGCAGCATCATTTATGGATTTGTTTGCTGCAACTACCCCAATAAAAATAAATCGGACGAGGGTCAGAGCTCTCATGGACACTGAGAATAGTGAGAACTTCATATGTGAATCACTGGTTCAAAAGCCTCATCTGCCTACCCTACTGAGGAATGATACCATGTCAATGGTGTCAACCTCTCTGAGCTCTCGGACATTAGGTTATTGCCTGGTAAATGTGGAAATGAAGAGACAAGAATATTCTGATTTTAAACTGTCTGTGCTTCCTGATTTGTTTGCTGCTGTCATCCTTGAGCAAGATTTTATGGGGCAACACAAGAGTATCTGTGTGAAATTTGATGGAAAGAGACACCCCTTTAAATGTGTGCGAACTGACTACCTTTTCTATTCCTCCTCCCTGACTCTTTGCTAATCTTGCTGAGAATTGCAAACCAATAGCTATTAAATCTAGAAAGTACAGTAAGCAAGATAAAGAATTCATTACTGCTGAAGTAAACAGACTACTTTCAGAAGGAATTATTGAGCCCAACACTCATCCTTGATGGGCCCAGGTCATAATGACCATTAACAAACAACATAAAAAGAAAATGGTGGCTGATTATTCTCTGATGGTTAACAGATTCACTATGTTAGATGCTTAGTCTTTACCTAAGATTGAGGAATTAGTAAACAAGGTGGCACAATACAAAATCTATAGTACTATAGATTTGAAATCCACTTACCACCAGGTCCCAATATCTAATAAAGACAAACTTTATACTGCTTTTGAAGCAGATGGAAAGTTATATCAATTTTGCAGGGTACCGTTTGGAGTAACCAATGAAGTAGCTTGCTTTCAAAGAATAATTGATAAGTTTATAGCTGACAATTCACTCTCCCACACATTTGCCTACTTAGACAATATAATTATCTGTGGTAAGAGCCAGGAAGATCATGATGAGAACCTTGATAAATTTACAGAAGTGGCCAAGAAATACAATTTAATTTACAATCATAAATGCCCTTTCTCTGACTCTACAGTGAACCTTCTAGGCTACACAATATCTGAGGGTACAATTAAACCAGATCATGATACTTCGACCGCTTTTTCGCAATATTCATTCTCTTCGTTGAGCACTGGGAATGTTCTTTTACTATTCCCAATGGATTGCTAAGTATTCTAAAAAGTTGCCCCCCCCCTCGTACAAGCTAATAGTTTCTGACTATCCAAGGCTCCTGAAAAAGCTTTTGAATACCTGAAAACTGAAGTCAAAAATGCAATAGTGTAATCTATTGACAAAATGGTTCCTTTCACCATAGAGACTGATGCTTCATGTCACATGATTGTCACCTCATTGAACCAATCTGATACACCTGTAGTGTCCTTTTCAAGGACATTGAGTACCAGTGAACGTAAACACTCTTTTATAGAAATGGAAGCCCAAGCTATCATAAAGGCCTTACATAAATGAAGGCACTACTTAACAGGATGACATTTCACTTTACTTAGTGATCAGAGATCAGTGGCATTTATGTTTGATTCAAAACAGGCTGAGAAAATAAAAAAAAATGATAAAACCCAAAAATGGAGGGTTGAACTTGCCTGCTATATTTTCAATATTAAATATTGCCTGGGGAGAGATAATGTTACTGCAGATACGTTATCTAGAGCTTATTGTTCAGCAGTAAGTTTGGACATCCTAGAGAAATTACACAACTCTCTTTATCATCTTGGTGTTACGTGAATGATACAGTTTTGTTAGGATGAAGAACCTTCCTTTCTCCATGGAGGTTGTGAAGAGGGTATCTACTGCTTGCCCTGTATGTGCCAAAGACAAACCTTGATTTTACTGACCTGACACTCTGCACTTAATAAAAGCAACCATACCTTT